GGGCAATCAAACTTATACCACTTTGGAAAAGTTGGCAGATGCATTGCACAACCAGGAACAGTGTTAAAAAAAACGACGGTAAAATTTCCGTACAGCCTCATACTATTGTAAAACAAATCTGTTTTCCCAAAGGCAATGTATTGTTTTTGCCATTGTTTTCTCTATCCAAGAACTGAATGGATAATTTAGGATGGGCTGTGCGGAAATTTTACCAAAACGACTGTTCAGATAAAAGATTCAGCTTAACTCAAGATAGTTTTGAGCGCGGTTTTGTTAGACAACAGCTAAACTTTAACCTTTGTTTAACTAATCGGCCATAAGATTAGTACTCCTCACCTTTTCCTCTAACAAAGGTAAACACATGAATTCGACTCCCCGTACTACCAGCATCAAACATAATTCCATGGACCTCGGCCAAGGAGCTTTGTTTAGGCGTTAAATATAATAGTTTTGGAATAGAAACGTCCGCAAAACTGACGTAGAATAACAGTGCAGTGAACAAGACAAAGAAGGTTAGTGTCACAACACGACAACCTCGTATGTTATATATTCTATGAGGTGGGGCAACCATATCTGCTTCACCAGGAAGTTTAGCAACTGAAGTGGTTGAAGAAGGCATATAATTGATGAGAATAATAAATATCTAACAAATTACACACAATTCCCATAATCCATGCGTGATGTGTCGAAATTCCACGATTACGGAGTGATGAACGTAACACAGGAGTAATTTGTAACCAAGCCTCCGAAAAGAAACAATAATATTCCGTGCCTTTCCTTCGCTGGATGTGCCTCGTTGAAGGCGTCGCCTTCGACTGAAAGAAAATTTTGCGATATGTAGAAATATTTGTTAAGAGATTTCTTATCTGAGCATTTAGTTTTTTTCTTCATTTTCTTAAAGCTTCACTCAGTTCTATGCTAAGATAATTCTTGTTATTTCTAACAAATAATCAACTATTCTTGAGAATGAGTAATACATTTTGACCTCAAAATTTTTTACTGTAATATTTTTTATAAACAGATAAAAACTCAGCGAAGCGTGCTGGATCTCCTGCGTTGTCTTGAATGCCAGGTACAGAACAATTAAATTTAATAAACTATTGAAAGGCTAAGCAAACAATGAGCCTGTACCTAAAATAGAAAAATAAGACAATTTCTTGCAGACTTCATTGTCTCACACCAGTAAAAAAAAAAAAAAAAAAAAAAAAAAGAATCACAAAGGTAATTAAAATCCAATTCATTGTGGTAAATACAAACAAAGTTGAGAAGGTTTTCTAGATGATTTGAAATTTTGAAACAAATTTGTTATTTCTTCTAATAATCTACACTTTCAGTTCTTAATCAAGAAACACAATCAGAAGTAGCTGATGGCATACTCATAATTGTGAGGCTTTTGCTAAATTGAATTCTTGTCTTGGTGAAAAATAACTCATGAATAAATTTGAGAGAGTTCATTTTGTTACAAATTAAAAAAAGGTGTTTGCACAATGCTGACATCTTAGACAGAGATGTTATAAATGATGACAAATTTTTCTTTTGCATGGTAACGGTAACCAAGAGAAAAAATTTATTTTGTTTGGAATGGAGAGAGGAACATATGCAAGTAGTTTCAGCTGCAAAATGGTTTACCTCTTGCGGCTTTGGTTGTAAGTTTGACTAGCATCTAATTTGTCCTTACACTACCATGCCTGAATCAAACATTAAGGTCACAGGAATTAAGGAAATGATAAGTAACTAAAAAAGCTCTGAATTGTTTAATTCTCCCCACCAGCACCTTAGGAAATGCAAAGAGAACAGTATGGAGAATATGCATACTGTTGTTAGGGTTAAGAAAGAATCATAGATGCTTTAGGAATGGCATAATGATAAACCCTGTCCCCCAAGAGTGACTAGCATCTAAATTCTCCTTACAATATCACCTCTGAATCACATATTTAGGTCACAAGAATTAAGGCATTGATCAGCAGGTAAAGAAGTCCTTGACTGTTACACAAATTCTCCCTGTAGGCACCTTAGGAAATACATTAGTAAACAGTATGGAGACTATGCATGTTGATGTTTCCGTGTAAGGGGTTAGGTGTTTTCAAACCAAAACCAAAGGTTTAGGAAATCATAGAAACTAATCCGAACAAGTTAATTCAACATCAAATGAATCCAATGAAAACTTGATGCAGACACAAATGTAACAGGAATTAACTTGGATTAAATGTCTGTGACCTAGCCTGCAGAGCAGGTGTAATTTTGGCAAGCAAGTACTCAGTATTTTCTTAACGAAAATTATGGTCACCATCTTTGAATTTAATGGCAGCAGAAGGCTGGGGAGAGAGAGAAATTTGTACCAAGGGGGCAGTTGATGGTCAAAAATAAGGAGAGGGATAGGGGTGGGGAAGAGACTAAACCTTTCCCCCACCCCCTAACCCCACTGTCCACTCTAACTCCAATTCAAACATGGCTGGTCACATAAACAATCGCAAGCTTATAATGTTAGCATACACTAATATGACACCTGCACTGCAGGCTAGTCTGTGAACAAGTTACAAGTAGTTCTAGTTTTTGACCCTCAGTTTTTTTACCCTATGTTGCTTTTGGCTAAGAATGCTTTGACTATTGGGCGAATTTTCCTTGTCAGTACCAAAAGGAAATGCATAGATATGAGCATGGAAAATAACTATACTGATGTTAGGGTGTACAGGAAAAAAACACATCAACTTCAGACACAAATAACATTAGGATATCCTAGAATATCAACAATGCTTTATTGCACTTTCCAGTGAGATGTTACATTCAGAACTCTGCCAATATTTTTAACAAAGTTGTTAATTTTCAAAACAAAAATTCTTTAAATCTGCATTGTTGCTTAACCTCAGTGAACACTAGTGGAACTGCAAATGAAAAAAATATTTAGTGAATTGAAAGAACACTCAAGCCTTCAAGGGAAATAAAAAAAGTTTGGGTTCTTGGGGGTGGAAAATAAATGACTGGAAATACTGAAAGGAAAAACAGGGCAAGTACAGAACATCTGTTTGTACAGTGGCATTTTAATCAAATTAACTACAGAATAGAAGCTGGTCCAGAAAAAATAGACCATTTTACATTATTGGTAGCTTAGAAATTAAGGGAGAATAACTTTAAGTTTAAATTAGCCTAAGGTGCTAGTTAGCAGTAGTTTAAGTTATCAGGAACTGCAAAGTTAGGGAGGCCAGGTCTTTGCTTAAAAAAGTAAGGGGTTTAGCAAACCTTTTGAAAGCCAATGTCTTTAGCATACTGTCTAAAGCATCGTCTGCAAATGTTCAGTCCATATTTTCTGATAAGGCCATGATGGTTGAAGCAAACACGGCTGTAACGAAAATAAACACATAACAGTTCTTAAGTCACATAGATTTCTATATGGTGAATAAATGATCATTGAAGTTACATGTCCTAAAGTAAGATGAGTTATTGTTGATCTTTCTATTTACAGACGATCGTTGCAATTGTGTGGCTGCAGCAAAATGACAAGCCAGTCATTTTATAGATGAAACTGCAACTTGGTGCCAAGTCGCAAAAAAATTGGGAGAGACCTTTCGCCTGTATGTCACCAGTTCTCAAATTTAATGGCTGTATCCAAAGAAACTGTTTTCCTTCACAGAGACTTGAAATTTTTTTACAATTTTAGACGCCAGTAAACAAAGTAGTTATATTCCCACGAGTTTATCACTAAACTATTAGAAAAGAGTTTCAACATACAACCAGTTAATTCAAAAATTCGTCCTTTAGCACGTTACCAACATCAAAAACTTCAAAATTCTTAAATTCAACAGCAAATATGAAATTTTAAAAGCGAAATTCACAGTGAAATCGTGGATAACCGGCAAACCATATTCAATTTACAGAATTTCGACCACGTGTCAGCCATCTTGAATTTCAGGCGGACAAGCGGTAAATTGAAAAGCCTCCAAATAACCCTCAAGAACCACACAAATACTCAAATAATTCGATCAAAATATAAAGAAGTGGTTTAAATATGTCGTACGCACAAACTTACCAGGATCTTGAACCTGGTCCGTACGTTCTTGGATGAGAAAACCACACATTTGAGTGACCCATGATGAAAATTGGAGTAAAGAGAAAGCCTCGAGGTTAACCCTGCGACCATATGCATTCTGGGAGATATCAAAAAAAGACTTATCATGGATGGGGTGGGGAGATATTTTTCCCTTCGGCCTCAGACATTGGAGGGGAACTCCAATTGAATAAAGTTTCCAGTTTTTCAGATTAAATTACACTTGAAAATATGCCGGCTTTTTTTGGCGATTGAAGACAGAAGATGACATCTTGAAATGGGTGTAGATTAAATGTAAAATTCATGCGATCCCTTCAATTTTAATTTATTCAAACCAGCTTCTTGTCACATCTTCAAGCAAAGCAAATAGGCTTTGAATTTTCGTTTCCTTGAACTTTCCGGGCATAAAATATTTTCATTTGTTAATCAGTCAGGTGCCATGGTAAGGGAAAGAGACGAGTTTAATCCGCCAAGCGCGCTTCGGCTACCATATTGAAACTAATTTCGGGTTATTCAGTTACCCAAAAATTGGCCATCCTACCACGCAAACTCAAGCTGGTTAGTTGTACGCACATTTGTGCTTAGAGTTTAAATAGCTCACAGCTACCCCACATTTTCAAACGGATTTATCCCTAATACACGCGCATTACTAGACTGTAAAATCCTTCTTTTATTTATTCTGTCAAGCCTTTAATTATGCAAAGGGTAATCAGCTGCTCATCGCATCACTCACAGTTCAGTTTCGACTTCATTGAAACTTTCGATATCTCCGTAGTCATTCTAAAATCCTTTCGACACCGGCAAAAACAGAAAAAAATCGATAAAAAGGCCTGGAAATCGGTAACACGAATACTCGAGCATACTCGGTCGTGCGTGTACTCTGAAAATAATTTTGTAGATAATCCAGCCTCTGATTGGTTTTAAATTTCTGTTTTTTCGTTTCCTTAGCGACAATTAGGTTAATACTTATTATTAGCCCAATTTCTGTTTTGTTCTCCGTCAGTTTCAGTTCATTTTACCCGACTGGGAAGGCTTATTTTTTCTCTCGGCGACATTTACCAGTTGATCGCAAAAAGAGTTCATGGAAATTAAGGTAAAGATCATCATGTTAAATCATTTTTTCTATTGTTATTTTTTGTTCGCATTCAGAAGGTCGAATTTGATCGGTTTGAAAGCATAGTGAATCGCATCCGTTTTCATAGTTTGTCAACGACTCATCAGTGTTTGCGGCTTTTAAATTTTTAACGCCTATTCGATGACCATTTTCTCACGCCGGCAAAACTAACGCCTGGCAAGGAATTTTCCAATCTTGAATCATACAGTCTTAACAAAAGTTAACACTTAGAGAGAGGCTAAGCGATTGACTTTTCTTTTGCATAAATCTCATAAAAACAATCATTGATTTTAGTTTTACCTCAGGCAGTTTTCATCACCAAATGCTGAAATCAGTTTCAAACTGTGCGGATATTAGGATCTATTCCTAATATTGTTAGGATGAATAAGGCACTTTGATCACTTACTGAGCACTCGGAGAGATTAAAAAAGTGAAATTTTCACGCCAGAAAAAAATTGATTTCATTCAAAACTGTGAAACTGCCACTGACTTGATGCAAAAAAAATCCTCGCGTTAGAATGTTTGATATCTCGTGTTTTGGTCAGTGGTGTTAGTCTTTCAGTGTGATTAAGCGAAGCGAGCTTTCGCCTCACTTTTGTTCGACGTTTGATTAATCCGATGCATGGAATGTTTCTATATTTGAAGACATAAGTTGAAATTGAGCTAAGGATATCTCGTCAACCAGAACTTTGTCTTTGATCACTCGCAAAGTTTTACTCTATGTGGTATTATCATCACAAAAGCGGCTTGTTAAAAGCCAAGTTCATTTTATCCGGATCGTTGGGAGTTGTAATACCTACGGCGTTGTATGCAAAACTGGTTGCATCACTCTAGTTGACCCCATTAGCGTGGAAAGGTTTTATATTTCTTTTTTTTGTTTCTTTTGCTCCAATTTCTACTTGGTTATTATTAGCATAGACAAGTATGAAGCACGATTGTCGTGCTATTTACCTAGTTAAAATTCCAACGTTCCATCTTGTGAAATTCGTTGCAGATGCAAGAGCAAATAACGGCTGAGTAAAAACCAGTGACAGGGATTATGCAAAAGTTGTAGAATGAAATAATTTGATCGCCTTAATCTGCTCGAGGATCTATTTTTTTCGTTTTAATTAAACTTTGTTTTTTAATAGCGGATCAGGATGGCAAATATTGCAAAATCAATCAGAAGGTAGTCGACATTAAAAAATAATAACTTCTGTATTTATGACATATTACGTCAATCTAAGCTTGGCGAGGTTTCCTGTTTACGCAAATACGAAATGAAAACGAGTTCGAAGTCCATTGGCTGTGAAAGAAACAACCGTATCTTGAAAGTGACAGCTGCAGGCTGTAAACAAATTGCGTTCTTTTGAACGTTTCGTGCCAGGAAACATTTAGAATTGTACCTTGTGAATAACGATGAAAATTGTCTCGAAGCGAGCTATGAACTGCGTTGCACATAGCATATATACCACGTAACGTCAACCGATGAGCGTGCTGAAATTTTTTGCATGTAAATTATTAGAGACAGGAACAGCAATTTCAGTGTTTTGATTAGTATCCTCAAACACTTATCTTCTAGTTCAGTAGAGCCAACGTAACAAAGAGGGCCAATTAATGATTAACTTAGAAAAAAAGTTCAGTTCGATTCGCGTATTGCGTGGCAATTCAGCTAATAAGGAAGACAATTTAAACTAATTCGGCTCATTTATATACAAAATCCATCCTGATAAAGTACTAGGTACTAAATTTAATGAAACAGGCTTTGAATGTTGAAAAACATATGTTAATTTATTCATGTGTCAATAATATTTGTCCTATTTAAAGATAAATTATGTCGTAACGATGAAACTCAGACATAAATTGCAGAAAACTGAATACAAAAACGCTGAAAGTGAAAGAGGGAAAACTAAAAAAGGGTATGTTCTTCGAAATTTTTTCGGGTGAAAAACGCCTTCTTTTTATTAGTCCATCAAAGTCTAATGAAAACCGCAATCAAGTAGACATATCCAAAGGGCTAAGTAAATTTTACAGGTGCCTCATATAATTTTCTAAGGGCTCATTAGCATATTACTGCACAATGCATCCCTATTAAGCTTATTAAAGATAACATCTGCAAGGAGCTTCACTCACACATTAGTGTTATTTGTCATCGCGAAGTCAAGGCTTCTCAGAAAGTTGCAACAAAGCAATCAGTTTGAGGTAACTCATAAAAGCCTTCTTTGTGAGTTTCTAGCATTTGAATCTTGCGTCATGATTCTCCGTCATTTTGTTCTTTTAAATTTTTTTGGTGATCGGTGAAGAACTCGTTTAAAATTGACTGCCGCAAGTCTTTTTAGTGGCAAATAAATTCCTCTAACTGAAGCAGACATCCTGTTTACAACTTAATTTCTCATGTTCCTGTTCAAACATTTTTATGAGCGGTGGGGAAGTCTCTATGCTAAGTTCATCGGCACCCTAAGGATTCTGCGTATTTTTAACACTAACAATATTGCAAGGAAACACAGCTTTAGAGAAAGATGTTTTCCTGGGGGCAAAACGGCGAAGACGGGTCACGGTTTTATAGTGTGTAAACGAGTGCAGTTAATATGTTTTGAAAGTTTCAAGCCTTAGTCTTCAATAACACATTTCTTGTAAGTATGTATGATCCGAAATACTTATGAATTGAACACCCATGGCTATCCAAACAAAACAAATGATTTGTAAGTCGTTTGCTGGGTCTATGGACTCTTAGAGGTTCTTAATTTTTCATTATTCCGTTAGGCTCTTTTCTACATTTTGTCAGTTATCAAATTAAAGTACCTGATGACATGATTTGCTCTTTTTTGCAAGTACAGGTTTCAGTAACAAAATGAGTGCAGCACTAAAAGCTTTGTTATGCAGGACAAATTCTTCCTCTAAGCTGACGTCGCCAAAATTTTTTGCATCAGTCGAGTTTTACGGCTTACAATTCTTGCAGTGTTTATACAATTCACAACTTCCCACTCACATCTACTAGGAAACATTGTTTGCCTCTTAGTTGCCATATTGACTTTAGCCTTAGTGTTTTTAACCATGTGTTAATTGTAATACTTTTTGCTTTCACTTTTACAGATGACTTTCCCTCACCGCCTGAAGTTTGCATTATTTTTTATATGTTGCATGCAACATGTATATGCTTCAACTTCATCAGTAAACGCGTCCAGCTCGTCCATGTCGGCGGCGGCCAATTCATCCACGATAACACAGGCAAACTCATCAACGACAGTTGTTGCCACAACATCTGCAATGTCTTCAGGTTCTCATGCAGCGTCTACAGGTAGGGCGTACACCACAGGAGCACCAATGGCGGCGACAACAAATGTGTCCTATACATCAGAAGCGTCCGCTACAACCATAGTACCACCAACCTCAACAACTCACAATACAACCATGTCAGCAAGTGCTTATGTGAACAATGCAAGTGCGCATGTCCTAACATCATCATCCATGTTCACCGCGCCTAATGGTAAGAGACATTTTTCTTTTCTTAGAAACCACGGAAGACAGAGTAGAAATTAGGAAGGTTAGAATTTGGGTATCTAGGGGCAAGTCCCTCAAGAATAATTCTTTTACTTTTCAATTTTTTCTTTCTTTTCTCACGTTTTCTATTTCACATGATTTCATTTTTCTTTTTTTTTTTGTCTTTGTGTGAAATTGTCAGCGTCAGTAACTTTTTCACTGTAAGTTAAAAACTTTATATTATTAAAAAATGATCGGGCGTCTCAGCGAATCATTATGTTATAGCGCTTCATTCATTACCAGTCTCACGGATATCCGGTCCCAGTCTCACACGGGTATCCATGTAAACAGGTTACCAAGTGTAGCGTGTGGTGAATTTTTAATTTGTATTTACATGGCAAAAAAATGCTATAAATAAAACGAAAATATAGAGAAAACTGTGAAATGATAGCATAGACTCAGCCATATTAAAACTGCTCATTATCTAGAATTAAAGGACACGTTTTACATTGTATACATTGACTGCTTGTAACCTGTGCTAGATGCATTGATGCAATCTATTTGTAATTATGTTTTCACAAAGATTAACTTTCAACGTGTTACATTTGCGTCCACTAGTGTTAGTTAAACTATTGTAACGTCATACTGAAGAATGTCTAAAAAGTTCTCCCGCAGGTTTATTTTGAAACTTAGAGCTGTGAAAAAGCTCCTACGATTAATAACACATTGTATGTGAATATGAAAGCGATCTTCGTAGTAATGAACTCTGCTTTTGCAGTAGTGAAAATAGGGCCTGACAAAAAAAATTCAGGCCTGTACGGGATTTGAACTCTGCAACACCGGTAATGTGCTCTACCAACTGAGCCGACAAATCAACTAGGAGCTGATCACTAAGTTGATTTCAAATAACCCGTGAAGTGATGAATAATTAATGCATTGTATATTCACTTTTCAATGACTTTTTCAGTGACTATCAGTATCAGAGACGAGTACTCGTCACCAGATTGCAAATCTTGTAGCAATGGAGGAACCATCACAGTGACCAAGTTATGTGACATCAAGATGCCATCTAAAGACGATAATAAATGTGACAAGGACAAGTTCAATAAAACCCGCTGTAGTTACGTTACTTTGGCCGATAAAATGTATCGCTGTGCTGAGGTGTTACAGAATTACACGAACCATGTGGAGAAAAAATTGAAAATCGTTAAAAATTGTAATAAGGAATGCCCAGCCTCTGGTTCAGGTTAGTTTTGTTTAACTCTAAAAAAAAAAAGAAGACTTAGAGATGCTACAGTATAATTTCACTAAGGGAAAAAAAGAAACCTTACAGAACTGGAGCGCTTTTCGATTGAGTGTTGTAAAACCAAAACTATATATATAGAGCCAATGGGAACTCAAAACCAACCAAACCACCTAAAGTGCGGGAAAACACGTGCGCCCAAGTCATGATTGCATGGTCTTAGTTTTGTTTCTGATTGGTTTAGAGAGAGGCGCGAGTTTTATGGACCAATCATTGAGCGAAGGAAAGCAAAAAATGTAATCACGGATAACTTTCGACACTCAGTTGAAAATTGCTCTGTGATGATGTGTGCTGTGATGTAATCAATTATATCAATTATACTTTGTAACTTAACGTAACTATTCCGAGGGAGCGACTCCTAAACATCACAATTTACCATAAACTGTTATGGAATCCACTAATAACCTAACCCTCAGTCACCACTGATACAAACTTACATTAAACCGACTGCTATCTCCAAATCTCCTCTGAAACTCTTGACTGTAGGCATACTTCCTCTTACAGCTGATCACAATAGCTCTGTGTAGCGTCTTCGAAAACTTATCTCCTTGGTGACTGACCCCTACAGTCACAGTAGTAACAAGGCATTCTAAAAGGCACCAGAAACTTCAAAATTACTATTCTTGTAACTGTATATCACTATTGGATTGCCGGAAAGAATTTCCATCAGAATGCTTCAGAATCCTCTTGCATACCGAAGATTTTTAGAAAAGTCCAGGAAATCCCTACAAAAAGTTACTCTAACTGTAAATATATCAATTTCATATGTGAACTGCGGATTAATAAATGAGTGTAAGAGTGATCTTTGCAGCAGCAGTAGTGAAAATAAGGCTTCAAAAAACCATTCAGGCCTGTACGGGATTTGAACCCATGACCTCTGCGATACCGTTGCAGTGTTCTACCAACCGAGCTAACAAGCCAACTGAGAACTGGTCATTTTGTTGTTACTCTCCTCAACAGAAATCCTTAATTAAACAAAAATCTTTTCTTTTTTGTCTCTAGTGTTGTCTCCACACCTCGCGTTCATTTTTGCAACTGGCCTCGTCGTGGGAATGTAAGTACCTGTCATTTATTCAAGCTTTCATTAAAACCCAGCGTGAGTTTTTCAATCAATGTAATTATTCGTCATGAGCAAGTCAAAATAATTTACTACAGGATCTTTCATTAGCATCAACTATTTACTAGTCAAATCGTCCCAAGAGAAAATCTAATTTCTTTAAGAATTCAAGATGGTATTCATCTTGACGGCCAAGCTAGATGACGTCACACCTCACACCCCATAATAGATAAATCCTTCTCTGACTGTTACCAAATGTAGCTCAACTAGTTGAGTACCAGAGCAAAGAAGGAGTGAGATATGATTCGTTATTTCAAATAAGCGCTAACTTTTTTACCTTTTTTTTTCGCAGGTTATCGCAGACTCTGTGATCCACCGACCTTGAAAAAGCTGAAGTAACCAGAAAGAAAAATAAACTCCATTTCAGTTTTTCAGGAGTAATGCCACTGAAATTTGTTTTTCACTGTTATTTAATTGAAGTTCAATAGGTACAAGCCAAGAGATTTTATAAGAAATCTTTATAGCGAAAGTTAAGTATTTCTGTAAATAAAATAGACACTACTACTGACATGGATAGAAGTCACTTGTAGATAAAGATGGTGTAATCAAAACATTTTATGGAAGCAAATATGATTGAACTGAGTGGAGTAAAATTTTGTCTGAAATTATGCGCCTGATTTCAAAATCAAACGAGTGCGCAGCGCTAGTTTATAATGGTAACAGGAACGAGCGCAGTCCAATTCGGTCTGTAATCATACGAGTGATTAACAAAATCGGACGACCGCGAAGCGGGAGTCTGATTTGTTAATAACCTTATTATTACAGATTGAATTGGATGACACGAAGTTTTGCTACCAATTAATCAAAACTATGACAAAATTTGAGAAAGAAACTAGACATCGGTTATAAGTTTTCATCTAGAAAAACACAGTTAACTCTGCGAAATGCGAGACAACAGCGCACACACATGACGCGTTCTGTCGTCTCACACAAGCATGACGTGTTAACTGTCCCTTTAACTGTCCTATTACACTGTCCAATTGCAAGCGTGACGCATACACTGTCCTATTAGAACTCAAATAGGGCTGGTGATAGCCAATCACGTTCGAGAATTTTCTTATAGTTTTGATTAGGTTTGAAATCACATATTTGTTGATCCAGTAGTAGGTGGTTTGTAGAAAGTTTCAAGAGTTGTGTTTCATTTTCCTGTAATTTGATTGGTTTCTTAAAACAAGCATTTGGTTGTTGTATTTCAGTAAAACTTCCACGTTGACTGGGAAAAAAAATGCGATTTGGAGCAAAAATTGGTGTGTTTCGTGAATAAATTGCACCAATGAGAACCAATCAGATTACAAGGATCAACAATGATTTTTTAAAGGGTGTAATAAATACTTAAAAACGACGATGTTAAGATGTGTGGTTAACATTATCTTCTTGATCCAATGCGACCATTGGGTGAGTGTGATAAGCTGCTTATGCGCAGTTCAGCTGCCTTTGACGCTAACCATTAAACTTATTTTGAAGTTTTGTAGAATGGTTCAACTTTGTAAAGAAACATGTCTGTATAAGTCAGAGTGTGTCAATTCATCATTAAAAGTGCATATAGAGGACGAGTTTTTGTAATCCTTGTTTTAGATTGTAAAACAAAGCTGTTGGTTATAAGCTCAAGATTTCGGTCACGTCAAATGGTCTCTTCCATTCAAGTAGGAACTGAAACCATTCAACACCAGCCCTTTGAAATAAATTTGGGAGTGATACTTGACCAGGATATAGCGATGGATAAACATATATGTATGATATGTAAGACCCCTTAATACCATCTTCGTAACATAGGTAACATTAGAAAATTTTTAGATCAGGGTTCTGTGGAAACCTTAGCTCATTCCTTTCTTACGTCTAAGATTGACTATTGTAATGCTCTTTAGTTTGGATTACTTAAATATCAGATCAATAGGCTGCAAATTAGCATTAAGCACTGTTGCGCATGTGGTTACTCTAACTCGCATATGTGACCACATAAATCCTGTAATTAAATCGCTGCTCTGGTTTCCTGTATTTCAACGTATTATTTTTTAGATTTGCCTATTAATTTATAAGACACTTAATGGCTTGGCGCCTATCAGTATCGATCTAACCTTTTGGCCCCGCGCCGTAATAAGCGCTCACTTGGATTTTGTACTCAGGAACTTTTAACTCAGTGTTCCGAGATCTAGAACAGTGACTTATGGAGCTAGGGCGTTTTCCATTGCTGGACTAGGGCTTTGGGATGAATTATCAGTTTCTTTAAGAAAGGCTGCCGACATCAATTTCGAGAAAATATACCTTAAGTTTGTTAAAATTTTTCATTTTCTTATCATATGTAATTGGTTATTTAGTGTATTCATAGTAAAGAATTTTGCTATTGGATGAATTGTAAATATTATTGAACTGTTATTAGTATGAACTGTAGATAGATATTGTTACATGATTTTACATTATGATTTTGTATGATGATTTGTATAGCGTTATGGGCAATTAGCGTAATAATGCTATATAAATAAACTTATTTATATTAAGTCCGCTGCTCTTCGCAGTCGTACTGATCGGCACTGGTATCGTCAAACCAGCTAATAAGCCACTGCTCAACAACATTTTAACCCCCGATGGGGGTAGGGTGCTTGTGACAGGTACTACTGAGGAGGGGAGGTAGGTGATTTGACTAGGGGTGGCGTGGTGCTATCACACACTCTTTCTCACTAAAGTTATTTGCCAAGTTGCGAAGAGACTTGGCTCTATTTGGATCACTTTCAAAAGACTTCTTATTGAACTTAATGAGTACGTCAACCAATACCTTACCCACTGAGGATGTCCCTGAAGATGTCGAGGAGGGGCTGTTTAGCAGGTGCGTCAAGATACTGCCGTTGTCGACACCACGTCCTTTGAAACCTCCGTAGAAGCCTTGACCGGTTACAAGCGATATTAGCTTAAGGGTCTGTGGAGGAGCCTTAGAGGAGGAGCCACGGTCTATACACCCCAAGTGGACGTGGTCCTTTTTTCAAGCCCGGTGAGAGACTCACACCTGGATACGTTTGTCATCTCGTTGCCATCTTGTATCCCTGGCTGCAGCTTCGGAGGTACCTTCCGAGGTCAGGGGAAGTCAAAAAGTTGACTATCCTTAAATGGTAACTGACGGCTAACGGGTCACTTTTTCGGAATACCGTCTAAATGCCTCGGCTAACACATTGAAACAGATACAAGGTACTTTGAATGCCTCTTTGTGCCTTTTTTCGCCGGGAAAACTGTCCAAGATGCAGCTTCGTGAGTCATCCGCCATAAACGCTTCGATTTTGATCATGCGACTTGACACGTCACACGTGTGTACATTAGGCAAAGTAAATAAGGCGGATAGTGCTTCGAGTGAAAGCAGTTCTATTACGGGGTCTGATTATTCGGATTTTGAGGCTTCGATGGAAGGCGAACATAATGGTAGAGTTTATAAATCTGTTGGTAAAATCAGGCCCTGGCAATTTGAACCGCCAGGACGAACGTAACCTAAAATAGAGCGCGAGAGTCAGAGGAGGATCCATGGCCCGTGCGCCGCGGCCGCCTTAATAAAGAAAGCGAGAATGGTGAGTGCATTTACGATTATAAATAAAGTATCTGAAAATCGGTCGCTTCTTAAACGTAGGAGCGATCAAGTAAAGAAAACCAAATGTACAGACTCTTGAATACCATGGGAGCGAAGTGTTTTTATGCTACACGCACGCACCTTCCAAACTGTTTCACTGACTGAAAATATAAACATACACGCTTGTGGAGGTGAATTGGCTGGATTATACACGTTCACACGCGATTGAATCGGTTTTAAGTTTTCCTGTGTTGAATTTTAAGAACGATTTAAGATTTCTCGACTTTTACTTTAAAACACGATGCAGCAAAAAATAGCATTTGTACATTAGATCCTGTTGTTTTCCGTCTTCATTATAAATGTCAACGCGGTTTAGAGTAGTACAGTTTTGGATAACTTGAGCGTGAATATATATATATATATATATGTATAAATATATATATATATATATATATAAATTTTTTTTTTAAGTTCAGGTCGTAATTTGAGAAACATTACGTGCTTGTTATTTCCGAAGTACGAGTTTGTCGCGGACTCGACTCCATTTTTTTTTACCAAAGCACTGCGGCGTTTTAAACGGTGGGTACAAGATAGTTCCATGACTTGTGCTTTAATTGTTTCCTCTCTTAGGCTTTAGGCTTGTTTTATTTACGATAAACAAGCGAGTAATCTACTGTTCACTCAGCTGACATTGATACAATTTTGAAACGAGTAACCTTTCGGACAGGATTGATTTCATCATGTTTCCGGTTGCAAATGAGAAACAACGCTTGAGCATGGCGCTCATAACAAGGCGATTCTTGTGACATCCGTTTACAGCATGGTTCTGTTGTTATACACTTCCATTGGAAGTTAATTAAACTTAGGCACACGAATGTGCTATATATGCTGCTCAATGTTAGTTGTAATCATTCGTGAAAAACTCTCAGTTAGAGACGAAACGCATCGAAAGAAATAAAAAAAAAGTTACAAAAGTAGGAAGTCATCTTTTGCGTTGCCCACTAGTCTCATTAAAAATTTTAAAAAAGGATAAATCTCGCCCATTTCAGGACCGTGGAAGAAGACTTTCGTTCACGAAACCAGATGACCACCTCCCATAATACGTGACAATACTTTGCGTTTAGTCACGCTCACTCCTGAACCGATGGGCCTGAGGTCACAGTGATACACACGAGACAAATACTTTTCGGCTTGGAATTAAAAAACATTTCTTTAAGAATAGAACTCGATAATAGTTAAGAGGAAAAATTGTGGGAACATATATATTTTTACAGCTGTTTGGAATAACGTGCAAATTATCTGTGGCTCTGAATACAGACATGCGATCCGTCGCGTTACGATTATTCAACCTTCGTTATTTTATTTCTCACTTCGTATTTCGTAGTCTCTAAATGGTGACCTATATCAGAATCGAACAAATCTTACTTTTTTTCCGCTCGTAAATTTCGGCTGCAGCTGAACAGCCGAGACGAATTTGTTAGTCTCAGGTCTTGACATGACACTTTTCACTGCCTTACACACGTGTGACGTACACATCACGTGACCTGAATCGAACCGTTTTCAAAATGGCCGTCGATTAGGCGTCAAAAAAAATTTGTAGAAAATTCAATTCTGCACAATATATCGTTAATTTGCTCATTTTGGATTCTTTAACCTAAGAGGAATGCATTGGGACAAAAAAAAAAAAGGAGAAAAATTTGGTGTCAGTTACCCTTTAAACACACACACACGCACGCAAAGTAGGTGAATTATTCACAAATTTGCGCTGGGAGTTAAAAGAGGTCGGCTTTTACTCGGCATTTTCAAACGCATGCAACGCTTAAATATGCACATACTTAAACTATAAAATCCCTTTTACTTCCTGCTGCAAATTTTTCATGCCGAGTTTAATCAGCTGCTCATTCACTTCATTTCAGATTCGAATGCGTTGAAACTTTTGATCTGCTCGCAATCATTCCGAAATCCTCTCAACACCAGCTAAAAAAAAAGGTTAAAAAAAGGCCTGGATATCGTTCACACACGTACTCACTGGAGCAAGAAATTCCTCTTTGGAAATCGTTCTGTAAATATTCCAGCCTTAGGGCTAAGGTTGGATTGGTTTGAAATTTCTGTTTGTCGTTTCCTTAGCGACAAAAAGGCTAACGGTTCTAAGCCCGATTGCGCTTTTATTTTGCGACAGTTTCAGGTTATTTTATCCAACAGGGAAGGCTTTCTTGATCTCGGCGACATTCACTATAGAAAGTTGATCGCAAAACCGTCTATATCAGTGGAGATCAGTTGCAAGGTATCGATCATCGTTTTAACTCTTTGTTTCTATTGTTCATTTAGTGTTTATAGTGAAAGGATGTTCGCATTTAGAAGGTCGAATTTCGTCGCTTTGAAAGCAGTGAGAATGAACTCAACATCCGTTTTAATAATTTCTCAACGACTCACCAGTCTTCTTTATTTGATTTTGCGGCTTAGTAATATTTAACACCTATTCGGTATGCATTTTCTCGCGCTAAAACGAGGAACTTCCAATCTTGAATCATTCAATCTTAACTAAAGTAAATACTTTCAGCGAAACATCTTAAGCGTGAATCTAAGAAATTTGATTAATTTCCTTTAGAGTAAATTTGAAAAAATTAATCATTAATTTGAGGTTTACCTAAGCCTATTTTCATCCCCGAATACTGATATCAGTTGCAGACTAGATATCAAGATCTATTCTGAATCATATTGTTACGATTCAACAGATAGAGTAAATAGGGAGTGAAAGAGAGCAACAACGGCGATGGCAACAAGAACGTAGCAAAACACATGATCTAATGAGCAAAACAAAAGCAAAACACGTGCGTTTTAAAACTTTGTACATTTCTTAGCTGTTCCATACCGAAAAAAAACACGAAATCACCGACTTTTACGCTCTCTTAACAAGAAACCTCGACACCAATTAATCCAAGTTTTATTTTGAATTCAACACTGCATTCACATGTTATGCGGAAGTTAGGATGTTGTACAGTCAGAAATGGTTAACGCATCGAGCTATCTTACAGGGAAATAACAAGTAGTAGTAACAATTTTAACTCTCTAATCTTGTAAATACCGCAGACTGCGGACTGAGAGTGTATTTGTTCCTCAGCCAGCCTCCTACAGAGCGTATTTTCAAAAAAGACGTTCGCTTTTGAACTCAATTTTAATGGCGACTGATAAGGGCAATTCATCGCACTATTGGCACGCATTGTGATTCTGGAAGATAAGAGACGTCTTTCAAGTTGGCTGTCTGATGCGAGTTTAGACCCAATCTCTGTTTACTTGAAAACGAGCTCCATTTCCGAGTAATAATAGTCCTGGGCCCAGTTGTGTAAAAGCAGATAACGCAATCCGACGGATAAATCGCTATCCGGCGGATAAATCGCTATCCGGCGGATAAATCGCTATCTGACGGATAAATCGCTATCCGGCAGATAAGTGATAGCAAAATGCATTGCGTTATTCACCGGATAGAGTTTTATCCAGTGGATAGCATTATTCGACCTTCGAACAACCAGGGCCTACTCTTTCTCATAAACAGACCGAGTCACTGTGTCTGTAGCTCGTGGCGGTGGACAGATACCGCCACGCGAGAATAAATTTACTGCTTCCCTTCCCATGTTATTAAAATTACGCCAAAGAGGTATTCTAAAGCCAGCAAAACAAAACCTTGGTGGGTATCAGTCAAACTAAGGTGTTAATGTGAAAGAGTGGATTGATCCAAAGACATAGCTTACAACTTCTTACCCAAATCTATTAGAAAACATTCGCCTCTTGTTCGCTATATTGAATTTCTCTCTCTATGTTTGTTATCATGAGTTAATTGCAATGCCATTTGCTTTCGCTTTGACAGATGACTTTCCCTCATCGCCTAAAGTTTGTATTGCTTTTGATGTGTTGTATGCAACATGTACTTGCTTCAAACTCACCAAGTGCTTATGTGAAGAATACAAGTACCCCTGTCACAACATCATCATGTAAGAGACAGTTTTGTATTCTTAAAAACTAAGAACAACAGAATGAAAATTTAACAGTGTGAGGAAAGGTTAAAATTTAGGCTTCTAGGGACATGTCCCTCAAGAAACTTTGTTTAATTTTCATTTTTCTCTCTCTTGCTTTCTTTCTTTTTTCCACGTTTTCTATTCTATATAAGTTTATTTTTTATTTCTGTGTGAAATTGTCGGGATCAGCACCGTTTTTATAAAAACCGTGATCGCGCGTTGTACTGAATCACTATTTAATGGCTGTTCGTGATTAATAAAAGAATGAACTACATGAGGAGGCCCAGTATGGCAAATAGACGGCCCCAGTCTCTGACGGGATTTGTGCTGACAGCAGTGACAGGTTACTGAGGATGAAATATCTGTAATAAATCGTAATTGTCGACACGGACGAATTAAACACTTTTCGAACGACAATAGAGACCAAACCGAAGAAGTAAATCTGAAACAAAAAGGAAAAAAAGAAGAGGATTTATAGCAATGGAGAAGATTAACACGAATTACATAATTAGTACGTCAAATTGCCCGATAAGACGTATGGCTTTGTTGAAATGAAAGAGAATTTCACGTACCACGAGAAAAAAAAAACTGGAAACGTGTTAATCTATGTGATGACGTTTCCCAGCTTTCGTCTCGGGTTGTTCTTGTTTCACTCTAAAAAAAATTGTTACAAATCATTCATTTTACAACTAGGAGGTATTACAGTATAATAAAACTGACAGGAAAAATACCCTTCACAAATGGAGTGCTTTTGGATTGAGTGTTTTAAACCCAAAACCAAAGTTATCACAGAGGGCCAATCAGATGAAAGAAGAAATACCTTTCAGAGCTGATAATATTCAAAGTAAAAACAAGCAAACTGCCTGAAGCGCTAGCCAACGCGTGCGACAAAGTCGTGATTGGCTTTAGTTTTCGATCAATGTGATTGGTTGAGAGAGTAGTTGCGAGTGTTTTGGACCAATCATAGAACGAAGTAAGCAACCCAATGCTATCTTGGATTACTTTCGCCATTGAAATGATAATTGCTCTTTCTTATGAAACAATCTAATTGATTCAATTTTACTATTTTGTAGATGTTACCACAGCATCTACAATGGCTGTAGTTAACAATACAGAGTCTAAAGATGGGACGTCCACCACAGGAACTTCAATGACGGCGTCAACAAAAGCGTCCGCTACAGCCACAGTAGAACCAACCTCAACAACCCACGATACAACCAAGTCATCAAGTACTTCTGTGAAGATTACAAGTCCCTCTGTCACAAAATCATCGTCCGTGTCCACCATAAGTAAGGGTAAGAGACATTTTGTATTCTTAAAAGCTTAGGACAACAGAATGAATAACAATATGGCGAAAGGTTAAAAATTTGGGTTTCTAGGGACATGCCCCCCAAGAAACTTTGTTTTAATTTCCAATTTTTCTCTCTCTTTTTTTCTTTCTATTTTTTTTTTTCTCGTTTTCTATTTTAGATAATTTCATTTTTATTTCTGCGTGAAATTTTTGGCATCAGTACCTTTTTTATAAAAACCATAATCGGGCGCTGTAATTAATCATTATTTCATAGCTGTTCATGCATTAATCTAAGAATTAACTGTACGAACAGGCCCATTTTGGAGAATGAACGGCCCCAGTCTCTCACGGGATTTGTGCCGACGGCAATGACAGGTTACCAAGAGTAAAATATTATGAATTTTTAAATCGTATTTGTCGACGCGGAAAAATTAAAAATTTTAGGAAAATAACGAAAATAAAAATGAAACCGAAGAGGTTAATCTGAAACAAAAAGGAAAAGAAGAGGATTGATGGCAATGTAGAAGATTAACACGAATTAAATAATTGGAACGTCAAATTGCCCGATAAGACGTATGGCTTTGCTAAAGTGAAACAGAATTTCACGTACCATGAGAAAAAAAAACTGGAAACCTGTAAATCTATGTGATAACGTTTCCCAGCGTCCGTCTCGGGTTGTTCTTGTTCAACTCTAAAAAAAATTGTTACAAGTCATTCATTTTACAACTAGGAGGTATTACAGTATAATAAAACCGACAGGAAAAATACCTTACACAAATGGAGTGCTTTTGGATTGAGTGTTTTAAACCCAAAACCAAAGTTATCAGAGAGGGCCAATCAGGAGAAAGGAGAAATACTGGTCAGAGCTGATAAGATTCGAAGTAAAAACAAGCAAACTGCCTAAAGCTCGAACCAACGCGTGCGACAAAGTCGTGATAGGCTTTAGTTTTCGATCGATGTGATTGGTTGAGAGAGTAGCCACAAGTGTTTTGGACCAATCATAGAACGAGGTAAAGCAACCCATCGCTATCTTGGATTACTTTCGCCATTGAAATGATAATTGCTCTTTCTTATGAAACAATCTAATTGATTCAATTTTACTATTTTGGCGATGTTGCCACAGCATCTGCAAAGGCTGTAGTTAACAATACAGCGTCTAAAGATGGGACGTCCACCACAGGAACTTCAATGACGGTGACAAAAAAAGCGTCCCCTACAGCCACAGTAGAACCAACCTCAACAACCCACGATACAACCAATTCATCAAGTACCGATGTGAAGATTACAAGTCCCTCTGCCACAACATCATCTTCCATGTCCACCATTCGTAATGGTAAGAGACATTTTGTAGTCTTAAAGAATTTGGGTTTCTAGGGACATGTTCCTCTGTTTTAATTTTAAGTTTTTCTCTCTCTTGCTTTCATTCTTTTTTCCACGTTTTCTATTCTATATAATTTAATTTTTTATTTCTGTGTGAAATTGTCGGCATAATTACCTCTTTTTTTATAAAACCGTAATCGCGCGTTTAAATGAATCATTATTTCATGGCTGTTCATAACTAATTAAAGAATGAACTGCATTAGGAGGCCCAGTTTGGAGAATAGACGGCCCCAGTCTCTAACGGGATTTGTGCTGACAGCAATGACAGGTTACCAAGGGTAAAATATAATGAATTCTTAAATCGTATTTGTCGACGCGGACGGATTAGAATTTTAGGTATAAAACGAAAATAGAAATAAAACCAAAGGTAAGTCTGAAACAAAAAGAAAAAAGAAGAGGATTAACAGCAATGGAGAAGATTAGCACGAATTGCAAACTTGGAACTGTGAAGTAGCTGATGTGATTAACAATACCGTGTATATTCACTTGGCAGTTATATATTTTTAGCGTCTTTCAGCATAGGCACCGAGTACTCGTCACCAGATTGCGCATCTTGCAGCATTGGAGGAACCATCACAGTGACCTTGTCATGTAGCATCAAGATTCCACCTAACGACGATAAGAAATGTGACAAAGACGAGTTCAATAAAATCAGTTGTGGTTACGTTACTATGGTCGATAAAATGTACAGCTGTGCTGACGTGAAAAAGAATTTCACGTACTATGGGAATAAACACTTGAAACCTGTAAAATGTGGTGACGTTTGCCCAGCTTCCGGCTCAGGTTGGTCTAGTTTAACTCTAACAACAATTGTTTTAAATCATTCATTTTATAACTGGGAGATGCTACGGTATAATTAAACCGACAAGAAAAAAACCCTTTTAAAATGGGATGCTTTTGGATTGAGTGATGTAAAACCAAACCAAAGTTATTACAAAGGCCAATCAGAAGATAGGAGAAATACCTTTCAGAGCCAATAAGATTCAAAGTAAAAACAAGCAAACTGCCTGAAGCGTGGGACAATGCGTGCGACCAAGTCGTGATTGGCTTTAGTTTTGGATTGATGTGATTGGTTGAGAGAGTGGCCGCGAGTTTTCTGGACCAATCACAGAACGAAGTAAAGCAAACCCAAGGCAATCTCGGATCACTATCGACATTGAATTGAAAATTGCTCTATCTTATGAAACAAAACAATTTATTCAATTTTACTATTTCAAGGGAACAACTCCTAAACAACACAGTCTACAATTAATTGAACTTGAGTCCACTACTAACGTAACCTTCAGTCACCACAGAAACAAACTCACATCCAACCGACTGCTACCGTAAAATCTTTTCTGAATCTCTCTTGTAGCAACCACAAGCAAAGTAAATTTGAAGCTTCCAGTACATCATTATTGTATTGCTTGATAGAATGTTCTAGAAAGTTCGCGAGAGCTACATCAACATGCGACAGGAACCACACTGCAGGACGAAGAAGCAAATATCAACTGATATTCTCTTGAGGACGAAGCAGTTCAAGAAATTTCCATACACTCGGTATCTAAGATTACTTTCCACCATAAAGATCCTTGAGTTTAAATTCAATCTGTCTTGTTCTTTTCCCTAGTGTTGTCCGCTCACCTCGTGCTCATTTTCTCATCTGGTATCGCTGTCAGCCTGTAAGTACTTATCATTTACGCAATATTTTATTAAACCCAGCTTAAGTTCTTCAATAAAACAATGCCACTATCCGACATTATAAGTCAATGTGATCTCGTAACAAGAATTCTACCACAAGACCTATTAACTGCTTCAGCTGTTATTTTGTCTTCAACAGACATTTCTGATAAAGATCAATAAACTTTACTGGTCACAATTCCATACACCTCAGAGAAAATCCAAGTTTCCCTAAATATTCGTGCGAGATGACGTCACGTCTCCTGTCTCATAATAGATTATTCCCCCCCGCACTGTACCACAGGTAGCCCAGCTTGTCGAGTCCCAGAGCTAAGTAAGACTGGAATATGGCATGTAATTTCAAATAAACGCTAATTTTTTAATTTTTTTCGCAGATTATCGCAGCCTCTGTGATCCACCAACCTTGAAAAGGCTGTAGTTGCCAACACGATAAATCAACTCCATTTCAGTTTTTCAGGAGTAAAGCCGTAGAAAAAGTACACTTGTATTCAATAGAGGCTTAGTAGATACAAGCCAAGTGTTTGTTGTAAGAAATGCTGATGCAGAAAGTTAAGTATTTCAGTAGAGGGAATAGAAAACAGTACTGACATGAATAGAAACAGCGTGTTGATAGAGATTGTGTAATAAAATCATTTTATTGATGTTTATTTACTTGAAAACGACGATGTTAAGATACGTGACTTACGATTCGCGTTATCTTCTTGGCAACTACGACTACAAAGTGAGGACAGAGACAAAGCTGATGCGGGTTATCCCGCTGAGACAACAATCCTTTTCTCCAGCGAGTTTTCATTCTGAGGAGTCGATGACAAGAAGCGCTAAAGGAGTAAAAGGTGCTACGAACTTCATCGCCATGTTACAGATGCACTATTGCAGTTGCTAAATTTGCAGCTGTTACCGCAATATTTCTTTTGTTGAGTGAGATATGTGACAGAAAGAAACTTTCCTAAAAACGGCAACTTTATCTGTTTTGGTTTGGGCCTATCCCCGCGAAATGAAACTAAACAATGAGAATTTCAAAATTGCCCCTGTTGAACCACGACGGTGTTGCTATGGAAATATTGACGTTGCCATTCTTTTACGCATATGAAATTTCTCGTACGTTACAAGCATGCGCACTCATCTTGCCGCTCTGTCTTTTTATGCGTAGTTCAGCTGCCTTTGTTCTATTAAGGTTACTCAGAAGTTTTGTAGAACGGTTCTACTTATCAAAGGAAAAAAAACCCGGAGTGTGTCAATTTATCATTTAAAGAGCTAGTGTGAAGAGGACGAGTTTTGGGAATCCTTGCTTTAGCTACCAAGTGCTATAAGCACTCGCCTTCTCCGAATTTAAAAAGAGCGTTGGTAGAGAATACATTGGCAGAGAACCCAGAAGAAAATAGAGACAATGAAAAATCACAAAATTGTTCATAAGCTGCAACTTAAAAATAAGTTAGAACACTATCGCTTCTTCCGCCTTTCTCCCCATGAAAACAGAAGCATGGTATTTTATCGATTGAAATGTTTTGGAGGTGAGGTGGCAAGCCGGTCAGGTGGGATACAACGAAGGTCGCCCCAACCCCCTCTCTTCCACAAAGAATGCGTTTACCGAGATCTGAAATCCTCTCAACACCGCGTAAAACAGAAAAGTTCGAAAAAAAAGGCCTGGATATCGTTCGCCCACGAGCTCACTGGAGCAAGTAATTCCTCTCTGGAAATCGTTCTGTAAATATTCAAGCCCTGGGGCTAGGATTGGATTGGTTTGAAATCTCTGTTTTCCGTTTCCTTAGCGACAAAAAGGCTAACAGTTATAAGACCGAGTTTCAGTTTAAGGTTATTTTACCCAACAGGGAAGGCTTTCTTGATCTCGGCGACATTCACTATAGCTAGTTGATCGTAAAACCGTTTTTATCAGTGGAGATCAGATGCAAGGTATGGATCATCATTTTAACTCTTTGTTTCGATTGTTCATTTAGTGTTTATTGTGAAAGGATGTTCGCATTCAGAAGGTCAAACTTCGTCGCTTCGAAAGCAGTGAGAATGAATCACCATCCGTTTTAATAATTTCTCAACGACTCACCAGTCTTCTTTATTTGATTTTGCGGCTTAGTAATATTTAATACCTATTCGGTGCTCAATTTCTCGCGCTAAAACGAGGAACTTTCCAATCTTGAATCATACAGTCTTAACAAAAGTAAACACTTTCAGCGAAACATCTTAAGTGTGAGGCTAAGCAATTTACTTAATTTCCTTCAGAATAAATTTGATAAAATTTATCATTGCTTTGAGGTTTACCTAAGCCTATTTTCATCTCCGAATGCTGATATCAGTTGCAGACTAGATATCAAGATCTAGTCTGAATCATGATATTGTTACGATTCAACAGATAGAGTAAATAGGGAGTGAAAGAGAGCAATAACGGCGATGGCAACAAGAACAGAGCGAAGCAAATGATCTAATGAGCAAAACAAAAGCAAAACACGTGCGTTTTAAAACTTTGTACATTACTTAGCCGTCCCATACGGAACAAAAACGTGAAATCCCCAACTTTTACGCTCTCTTAGCTAGAAACCTCGATAGCAATTAATTCAAGTTTTACATTGAATTCAACACTACATTATTATTATTATTATTATTAAATTTAAATTTATACCGCGCAGTTTCTATAAAAATATTCAACTGCGCCTTACAATAAATATTAAATTAGAAATTAGAATAGAAGTTCAAAATTACAATTCTAAAATAATGCAATTCAATTATAAAAACTATAGAACTAATTAAACGCCCTATTAAATAAAAAAGTTTTAAGTCTAATTTTAAAAATATCTAAACTGGAAATAGATCTTATTGTGGTAGGAAGCGAATTCCAAAGTCTAGGGGCGGCACAACTAAACGATCTATCTGCCAGGGTCTTCTTGGATATTATCTTCGGGAAAGTTAATAAAGCTGCAGGGTCATTGTTGCGCCTTAAATTATACCTAGATGGCGGCAAGATAGATATTAAATGGCGCAAGTAATCGGGCGCCATACCATGCAATACCTTAAATGTAAGAAGAATTATTTTATATTCGATACGATAACAAACAGGCAGCCAATGTAATTCGTGAAGTAGAGGCGTGATGTGGCACGACTTTGGAGCACAATATACCAAACGGGCACTAGCATTCATAACACGCTGGAGTTTAGACAACTGATATTTCGGTGACCCATACAAAAGGCTGTTGCAATAATCAAGTCTGCTTGTTATAAACGCATGAACTAGTGTTTCAGTGCTACTTCTAGATAAGTACTTCCTAATATGTCTGATATTATAAAGATAATAAAATGAGCTGCTGCATGTTTTGGTAATATGTACATCCATATTCAAATGCGGATCAAACCATGTGCCCAGATTACAGACTGATGAAGAAGGACTAATATTATAATCTCCGACTCTGATGCCATCGATAGACACCTTTGTGAGCTGCTTCCGTGTCCCAACAAGCATAAAATCAGTCTTGACATCATTTAGCATTAATTTCCTCACACACATCCACTGTCTAATGTCACGAATACAATTTTCAATGGCAGTGACCGCATCCAACTCACCAGTGCCAACACTAGGACTAAAGGACAGATACAACTGAGTATCGTCCGCGTAAGCATGCGCAGTTGGTAAATGGGACTCCAGGAGAGAAAACAAATCACTTGAATAGATAGTAAACAAAAGCGGGCCAAGGCAAGAACCTTGAGGTACACCCCACTTCAAATCAAATGACTGCGAAAGCGTCTCTTTTATGCAAATTCTTTGAGATCTCCCTTCCAAATAAGACTTGAACCACGAAAGAGCAGAGCCGCAAACACCTAGTTTCGTCTGAAGGGCTTTTAATAAAATCTTGTGGTCAACAGTGTCAAAGGCGGCACTCAAGTCTAATAACACCAAGAGTGATACATGCCCCTTGTTCATATTCATTAGCAAATCGTTTTTTACTTTTAACAATGCAGTCTCAGTGCTGTGATGGGAACGATAAGCAGATTGAAGCTGAGGGAAGAGATTGTTCTTAATCATGTGACACTGAATCTGATTGGCTACCACACGTTCAGTAAGTTTGGACACAAATTGCAAGTTGCTAATTGGTCGAAAATTCTTGAAAAGAGGATCAAGACCAGGCTTTTTCAATAATGGATGTACCACAGCAGTTTTCCAGGCGTCAGGAAAATATCCAGTTCGTAAGGACAAATTAACCATATTCGTTATTACAGAAAGGAGTGGGTCAAGGCAGGCAGATAACAGAGTCGCAGGTATTGGATCCAAGATGCAAGTTTTTTTCTTCCCTGATGTAATCATATCACGTATTGCTACAGCCGTTGTACATTGAAAATCAGACAGTACAATATCGCTAGGTTCAGATACCAGATCAGGCTCCGACGTCGACAGAAGATGCGATGGAGAGATACCTTCCAACTTTGACCTTATATTAGCAATCTTGGTAATAAAAAACTCGCCCATGTCATTTGCAAGCAGAGAAACGTCAGTATGAGGAGGAAGAGCTCTATCCGGCTGCATATTCAGTAGACTCTTACTTGCCATAAACAGCCTCCGCTGGTCAGAACTATTATCCTCAATGAATTGATTGTAGTAGACACGACGTGCCTCATTCATCAAGTTCACCACACGATTTCTTTCCTTTTTAAAAGCAGCACGATCTGCAGATAGGCCAGTAATTCTCCACTTCTTTTCAGCCTTTCGTCTCGACCGTTTAGCTTTTCTGATATCTTCATTAAACCACGGTGCTCGAGGCCGAACAACAATATCACGGGACAAGACAGGTGCATAGATATCTAGTATAGATCTTAGTGTCTCATTGTAACAATTGACTAGGGTATCCAAGTCGTCCGGTGGGTCAAGACAGAGCTGAGAAGAGCAAATCGTCTCGGAAAATTGATCACGGTCAATTGATTTAATTTTTCTGAACTGCAGATGTTTGATGGCCACCGGAGGTCTTTCAGGTTTTAGTTGACAGAAGACTGGGAAATGGTCAGAAAACAACTCACCAGTGTAGGGGCACCCAGCAATGATGTTATCAGATATACGAGTGATGATCAAATTTTCATTTGACTGTATTTCTTAAATCTAAATGTAAGCTTGCTCACTACATTCACATGTTATGCAGAAGTGAAGATGTCGTACAGTCAGAAACGGTTAACGCATCGAGCTATTGGCGAAAATCTTACAGGGAAATAAGTTACGTTTTTCCACAGGTCGCTGTAGTAACAACTTAAACTCTCTAATCTTGTAAATACCGCAGACTGAGAATGTATTTGTTCCTCAGCCAGCCTCCTACAGAGCGTATTTTCAATAACGACGTTCGCTTTTGAACTCAATTTTAATGGCGACTGATTAGGGCAATTCATCGCACTATTGGTACGCATTGTGATTCTGGAAGATAAAAGACATCTTTCAAGTTGGCTGTCTGATGCAAGTTTAGACCCAATACTCTGTTTACTTGAAAACGAGCTCCATTTCCGAGTAATAATAGTCCTGGGCCCAGTTGTATAAAAGCAGATAACGCTATCCGACGGATAAATCGCCATCCGGCGGATACATCGCTATCCGGCGGATAAATCGCTATCCGGCGGATAAGTGATAGCAAAACGTATAGCGTTATCCACCGGATAGAGTTTTATATAGTGGATAGCGTTATTCAACCTTCCAACAACCAGGGCCTGCTCTTTCTCATAAACAGACCGAGTCGCTCTGTTTGTAGCTCGAGGCGGTGGACAGATACCGCCACGCGAGAATAAATTTACCGCTTCCCTTCCCATGGTATTAAAATTACGCCAAAGAGGTATTCTAAAGCTAGCAAAACAAAACCTTATTGGGCGTCAGTCAAACTAAGGTGTTAATGTAAAAGAGTGGATCGATACAAAGACATAGCTTACAACTTCTTACCCAAATCTATTAGAAAACATGCACCTCTTATGCGCTATATTAAATTTTTCTCTTTGTGTTTGTTGTCATGAGTTAATTGAATACCATTTGCTTTCGCTTTGACAGATGACTCTCCCCCAACATCTAAAGTTTGTGCTTTTTTTGATATGTTGCATGCAACATGCACATGCTTGTGTATCAATATGCTCATGCTCTTGTATGGCGGCAAATTCATCCATGATAACACAGGCAAACGCATCCCCGACAGCTGTTTCTATTATGTTTACAATGGCGACAACTGGAGCGTCCGCTACAACCATGGTGGTACCATCCTCAACAACTCGCGTTACAACCAAGTCATCAAGTGCTGATAGGAATATTACAAGTGCCCCTGTCACAATATCATCTTCCATGTCCACCATACGTAATGGTAAGAGACATTTTTGTATTCTTAAAAACTAGGAACAACAGAATGAAAGTTTAACAGCATGGGGAAAGGTTGGAATTTGGCCTTCTAGGGACATGTCCCTCAAGAAACTTAGTTTAATTTTCAATTTTTCCTCTATTTCTTTTTTCTCGTCTTCTACTTTATATGATTTCATTTTTTATTTCTGTGTGAAATTGTTGGGATGAGTACCTTTTTTATAAAAACCGTGATTGGGCGTTGTACTGAATTATTATTTCATAGCTGTTCATACATTAATTAGAGAATAAACTGCAGGAGGAGGCCTTGTATGGAGAATAGACGACCCCAGTCTCTCACGAGATTTTTGCTGACAGCAATGACAGGTTACTAAGGATAAAACATCATGAATTTTTAAATCGTATTTGTCGACGCGGACGAACTAAAAATTTTACGAATGAAACGACAATAGAAACTTAAACGAAGAGGTAAGTCTGAAACAAAAAAAAAAAAAAAGAAGAAGATGAATAACAATGGAGAAGATTAACACAAATTACATAATTGGAACGTTAAATTTCCTGATAAGACGTTTGGCTTTGTCGAAGTGAAACAGAATTTCACGTACCATGAAAAAGAACACTGGAAACGTGTAAATCTATGTGATGACGTTTCCCGGCTTCCGTCTCAGGTTGCTCTTGTTCAACTATAAAAAAAAATTGTTACAAATCATTCGTTTTACAACTAGGAGGTATTACGGTGTAATAAAACCGACAGAAAAAAATACCCTACACAAATGGAGTGGTTTTGGATTGAGTGTTGTAAAACCAAAACCAAAGTTATCACAGAGGGCCAATCAGAAGAAAGGAGAAATACCTTTCAGAGCCAATAAGATTCAAAGTAAAAACAAGCAAACTGCCTAAAGCGCGAGCCAACGCGTGCGACAAAGTCGTGATTGGCTTTAGCTTTCGATTGATGTGATTGTTTGAGAGAGAAGCCCCAAGTGGTTTGGACCAATCATAGAACGAAGTAAAGCAACCCATCGCCGATCTCGGATTACTTTCGCCATTGAATTGATAATTGCTCTATCAAATGAAACAAACTAATTGATTCAATTTTACTATTTTGTAGATGTTGCCACAACATCTGCAAAGGCTGTAGTTAACGATACAGCGTCTGAAGATGGGACGTCTACTACAGGAACTCCAATGACGGCGACAAAAAAAGCGTCCGCTACAGCCACAGTAGAACCAACCTCAACAACTCAAGATACAACCAAGTCATCAAGTGCTGATGTGAAGACTACAAGTCCCTCTGCCACAACATCATCTTCCATGTCCACCATTCGTAATGGTAAGAGACATTTTGTATTCTTAAAAGCTAAGGACAACAGAATGAAAATTTAATGGTACAGGGAAAGGTTGGAATTTGGGTTTCTGGAGACATTTCCCTCACGAAACTTTGTTTTGATTTTCAGTTTTTCTCTCTCTCTTGTTTTCTTTTTTCCACGTTTTCTATTTTATATTATTTCATTTTTTATTTCTGCGTGAAATTGTCGGCATAAGTACCTTTTCTTTTATAAAACCGTAATCGCGCGTTTCATTGAATCATTATTTCATAGCTGTTTAATATACATTAACTAAAGAATGAACTGCATGGGGAGGCCCAGTTTGGAGAATAGACGGCCCTAGTCTCTCACAGGATTTGTGCTGACAGCAATAACAGGTTACCAAGGGTAAAACATCATGAATTTTTCAATTGTATTTGTCGACGCGGACGAATTAAAAATTTTAGGAATGAAACGACAATAGTAATCAAACCGAAGAGGTAAGTCTGAAACAAAAAGAAAAAAAGAAGAGGTTAACAGCAATGGAGAAGATTAACTCGAATTGCGAACTTGGAACTGTGAAATAGCTGCTGTGATTAACAATACTCTGTATATTCACCTGGTAGTTAAATATTTTCAGCGTCTTTCAGCATAGGCACCGAGTACTCGTCACCAGATTGCACATCTTGCAGCAATGGAGGAACCATCACAGTGACCATGTCATGTAGCATCAAGATGCCATCTAACAACGATAAGAAATGTGACAAGGACGAGTTCAGTACAACCAGCTGTAGTTACGTTACTTTGGCCAATAAAGTGTATCGCTGTGCTGAGGTGGAAAAGAATTTCACGTACTATGAGAAAGAACACTTGAAACCTGTAAAACAATGTGATGACGTTTGCCCAGCTTCCGGCTCAGGTTGGTCTAGTTTAACTCGAACAAAAATTGTTTTAAATCATTCATTTTACAACTGGGAGATGTCACGGTATAATTAAACCGACAAGAAAAATACCTTTTTAAAATGGAATGCTTTTGGATTGAGTGTTTGTAAAACCAAAACCAAAATTATTACAAAAGCCAATCAGAAGATACCGGAAATACCTTTCAGAGCCAATAAGATTCAAATTAAAAACAAGCAAACTGCATGAAGCGCGGGACAACGCGTGCGACGAAGTCGTGAGTGGCTTTAATTTTGCATCGATGTGATTGGTTGAGAGAGTGGCTGCGATTTTTCCGGACCAATCACAGAACGAAGTAAAGCAAACCCAACGCAATCTCGGATCAATATTCAATTTTACTATTTCAGGGGAACAACTCCTAAACAACACAATCTGCCCTTAACTAAAACTAAAGTCACATCAAACCGGCTACTATCGTAAAATCTCTTCTGAAACTCTCGACTATAGGCATACCTCCACTGCAAACCACAATAGCTTCTGGCAGCTTCTTCAAAAAGTCGTTCTTTGCCGACAAAAACAACTTCATTACTCGGTGACCGGCTTATTTAACATTTATAAGGCATTCTAAAAGGTACTGGTGACTTCAAAATTCCTTTCTTTGTAGCCGATAAAAAAAGTAATTTTGAAGTTTCCAGTACATTATTATTGTATTGCTCGATAGAATGTTTTAGAAAGTTCGCGAGAGTTACATCAACATGAGACAGAAACCACATTGCAGGACGAACAAGCAAATTTCAACTGATATTCTCATGAGAACGAACTAGTTCAAGAATTTTGCATACGCTCTGTATCTAAAGTTACTCTCCACCACAGAGATCCTTGAATTTAAATCCAATCTGTCTTGTTCTTTTCTCCAGTGTTGTCCGCTAACCTCGTGTTCATTTTCTCATCTGGTCTCGCTGTCGGCCTGTAAGTACTTATCATTTATGTAAGCTTTTATTAAAGTCAGCTTATATTCTTCATCAACGTAACAATGCCACTATCCGACATTATGATTCAATGTGATCTCGATCGTAACAAGAACTCTACCACAGGACCTCTTAACTGCTTCAGCTGTTACTTTGTCTCCGACAGACATTTCTGTTAAAGATCAACAAACTTTATTCGTCACAATTTTAAAACTCTGAGGTGCATGCAGTTCATGCACCTCAAAGAAAATCCAATTTTCCCTTAAAATCCGTACGAGAGAGGAGGAGAGAGGACCCTGGGAACGAGATTAAAACACGCCGTACATCTTAACGGCTATGTTAGATGACGATCCGTCTCCTCTCCCATAATATATTAGTCCTTCCCCGCACTGTACCACAGGTACCCCAGCTCGTCGAGTCCCAGAGCTAAGTAGGACTGGAATATGGCATATAATTTGAAATAAGCGCTAAATTTTTAATTTTTTTTCGCAGATTATCGCAGACTCTGTGATCCACCGACCTTTAAAAAGCTGTAGTTGCCAACACAATAAATCAACTCCATTTCAGTTTTTCAGGAGTAAAGCCGTAGAAAAAGTATACTTGTATTCAATAGAGGCTTAGTAGATACAAGCAAAGTTTTTTTTTTTTTGTAAGAAATGCTAATGCGGAAAGTTAAGTATTTCAGTAGAGGGAATAGAGAGCACTACTGACATGAATAGAAATAGCGTGTTGATAGAGATTGTGTAATCAAATCATTTTATTGATGTTTTTTTTACTTGAAAACGACGATGTTAAGATACGTGACTTTCGATTCACTTGATCTTGAGTTCTTGATCAACTACGACTACAGAGTGAGGACAGCGGCAAAATGAGTGCGCATGCTCCGTTACTCGCGCCATTTGAGCGTTCAAGGTTACTGCTCTCCCTCTCCAAACAAAGTTGATGCGGGTTCTCCCGCTGAGACAACAATCTTCTTCTCCAGGGAGTTTTCATTCTGAGGAGGCGATGACAAGAAGCGCTAAAGCGATAAAAGGTGCTCCAAACTTCTTAGCCATGTTACCGGTGCACTACTGCGGTTGCTAAATTTGCTGCTGTTTCCGCAATATTTCATTTGTTGAGTGAGGAGGTTCGAAGGGAACTTTCTTGAAAACCGCAACTTTATCTGTTTTGGTTTGGGCCTATCCCCACGAAATGAAGCCAAACAATGAGAGTTTCAAAAAATGCCGCTGTTTTGCCAAGATGGTGTTACTATGGAAATATTGTCGTTCCCATTCCTTTCCGCACAAGAAATTTTACGTGCTTTGCAAGTACGCACTCTCATTTTGTCGCTGTGTCTTGAGTGAGTATCATGGGTTGTTTATGCGTAGTTCAGCTGCCATTGTTTTATAGAACAGTTTTACTTATTAAGAAAAACGACTCTAAAACCCGGAGTGCGTCAATTTATTATTAAAAATGTGTGAAGAGGACGAGTTTTGGGAATCTGTAAATATTCAAGCCCTAGGGCTAAGGTTGGATTGGTTTGAAATTTCTGTCTCCCGTTTTATCATGATATTGTTACGATTCAACAGATAAAGTAAATAGTCAGAAACGGTTAACGCATCGAGCTATTGGCGAAAATCTTACAGGGAAATAAGTTACGTTTTTCCACAGGTCGCTGTAGTAACAATAAGCTACGTTTTTCCGGCAAAGTTTTATCACAGGTCACTGTAGTGACAGCTTAAACTCTGTAGTCTTGTAAATACTGCAGAAGTGTATTTGTTCCTCTGTCATCTGTCCGTTATCTTTGCTGCATTTCTTTTTACTTTTTATAGTTCTGTGGTACACGTTTTAATAAGTATCATCGCTGTGGTTTTCGAAATGTTTAAAGCTGTCTTCTAGCGACCAGTGAGAAATATGCCTCCGGTAGCCGATTTGGAAACCAATCATTCTTTGCGCTACCAGGTGTAAACTACGCGCGCTACTTAAATTTTTTCTCGATTTCTTTCTAAATTCTCTGTATCTGTTTCATTCAGTCTAACAAACTTTGCATTTGCAAAACGAGATAATTACATAAGCCCGGCTCAGATGGCTAAATTCTGGACTCTAACCTTTCTTTTTTCTCACCGTTTATTTGCATGTGCCCTGAATACTTTCCTTTTCCAAAAATAATCAGCCTCGAGGCGCTAACATCAGAACTTGCGAAGAAACTTGTTAAATTTCTCATGTAAATTCCCTCGCTTTGGAAACTCTCTGCCAGTGAAACTGTCAAACGCCTCTTTTCGGTTAACGCGAAGATCTACGAAAATGCTTTTCCACTGAAATCTTCCAATTTTTGTCAGGTAATTACAGCGAAACTGATGTTGAGAGCCAGCCAGCCTTCTACAGAGCGCATTTTCAATAAAGACGTTCGCTTTCGAACTCTATTTTAATAGCGACTGATGAGGGCAATTAATTGCACTCTTGGCACGCATTGTGATTCTGGAAGATAAAAGGCGTCTTTCAAGTTGGCTGTCTGATGTAAGTTCAGACCCAATACTCTGTTTACTTGAGAACGAGCTCCATTATCGGGTAATTATAGTCCTGCTCTTTCTCATAAACAAAGGACCGAGTCGCTGAGTCTGTAGCTCGAGGCGATGGACAGATACCGCCACGCGGGAATAAATTTACTGCTTCCCTTCCCATGTAAATTTTGCCAAAGAGGTATTCTAAAGCCAGCAAAGCAAAACCTTGTCGGGTCTCAGTCAAACTAAGATGTTAAAGTGAAAGAGTGGATTGATCCAGAGACATAACTCACAACACCTTATTCACATCTGTTCGAAAACATTCGCCATATTGAATTTCTCTCGCTGTGTTTGTTATCATGAGTTGATTACAATACCATTTGCTTTCGCTTTGACAGATGACTTTCCTTCACCGCCTAAAGTTTGTATTATTTTTGATATGTTGTATGCAACATGCACTTACTTCAAACTCAGCAAGTAACTCAAGTGCCAATGTGTCTACCATAAGTAATGGTAAGAGACAGTTTTGTATTCTTAAAAGCTGAGGTCAACAGAATGAAAATTTAACAGTATGGGGAAAGGTTGGAATTTGGGTTTCTAGGGACATGTCCCTCAAGAAACTTTGTTTAATTTTCAATTTTTCTCTCTCTTGCTTTCTTCTTTTTTCTCGTTTTCTATTTTATACAATTATATTTTTTCTGTGTGAAATTGTCGGGATCAGTACCTTTTTAATAAAAACCGTGATCGTGCGTTTCACTGAATCACTATTCCATAGCTGTTCATGAATTAATTAAATATTAACCGCACGAGCAGGCCCAGTTTGGAGAATAGACGGCCCCAGTCTCTCACGGGATTTGTGCTGACAGCAATGACAGGTTACCAAGGGTAAAATATCATGAATTCTTAAGTCGTATTTGTCGACGCGGACGAATTTAAATTTTAGGAATAAAACAAAAACAGAAATAAAACCAAACAGGTAAATCTGAAACGAAAAAGAAAAGAAGAGGATTAACAGCAATGGAGAAGATTAACACGAATTGCAAACTTGGAACTGTGAAGTAGCCGCCGTGATTAACAATACTCTGTATATTCTCTAGGCAGTTATATATTTTCAGTGACTTTCAGCATAGGCACCGGGTACTCGTCACCAGATTGCGCATCTTGCAGCAATAGAGGGACCATCACAGTGACCAAGTCATGTAGCATTAAGATGCCACCTAACGACGATAAGAAATGTGACAAGGACGAGTTCAATAAAACCAGCTGTGGTTACGTTACTATGGTCGATAAAATCTACAGCTGTGCTGACGTGAAAAAGAATTTCACGTTCTATGAGGAAAAATACTTGAAATCTTTAAAACAATGTGGTGACGTTTGTCCAACTTCCGGCTCAGGTTAGTCTGGTTTAACTCTAACAAAAATTGTTTTAAATCATTCATTTTACAACTGGGAGATGCTACCCTCAATTGCTTCAGCTGTTCTTTTGTCTCCAACAGACATTTCTGTTAAAGATCAACAAACTTTAATCATCACAATTTTAAAACTTTGAGAGGCATGAAGCTCAAGCACCTCGGAGAAAATCCAATTTTCCATAACAACTCGTGCGAGAGAGGAAGAGAGAGGACCCTGAGAACGAGATTGAAACACGCCGTACATCTTAACGGCCATGTTAGATGACGTCCCGTCTCCTATCCCATGATAGGTCAGTCCTTCCCCGCACTGCACCACAAGTAACCCAGCTTCTCGAGTCTCAGAGCTAAGTAGGACTGGAATATGGCATGTAATTTCAAAAAAAGCACCAAATTTTTCATTTTTTTTTTGCAAATTATTGCAGACTCTGTGATCCACCGACCTTGAAAAAGCTGTAGTTGCCGACAAGATAAATCAACTCCATTTCAGTTTTCAGGAGTGAAGCCGTAGAAAAAGCGGTATAATGGTATTCGATAGAGGCTTAGTAAATACAAGGCAAGTGTTTTTGTAAGAAATGTTAATGCGGAAAGTTAAGTATTTCAGTAGAAGGAATAAAAAGTACTATTGACATGAGTAGAAACAGTGTGTTGATAGAGATGGTGTAATCAAATCATTTTATCGATGTTTATTTACTTGAAAACGACAATGTTAAGATATGTGACTTACGATTCACGTTATCTTCTTTATCAACTACGACCACAGAGTGAGGACAGCGGCAAAATGAGTGCGCATGCTCCGTTTCTGGAGCCATTTGAGTGTTCAGGGTTACTGCTCTCCCTCTCCAAACAAAGCTGATGCGGGTTTCCCCGCTGAGACAACAATCCTTTTCTCCAAAGAGTTTTCCTTCTGAGGAGTCGATGACAAGAAGGGCTTAAGCAATAAAAAGTGCTACGAACTTCGTCGCCATGTTACAGATGCACTACTGCGGTCGCTAAATTTGCAGCTGTTACCGCAATATTTCTTTTGTTGAGTGAGATACGTGAAGGAGGAGGTTTGAAGGAAACTTTCCTGAAAACGGCAACTTTATCTGTTTTGGTTTGGGCCTATCCCCGCGAAATGAAACCAAACAATGAGAATTTCAAAATTGCCGCTGTTTTGCCACGATGGTGTTACTATGGAAATATTGACGTTCCCATTCCTTTACGCATATGAAATTTCTCGTGCGTTACAAGCATGCGCACTTATTTTGCCGCTGTGTATCATGGGCTGTTTTTGCGTAGTTCAGCTGCTTTTGTTGTATTAAGGATACTCAGAAGTTTTGTAGAACGGTTCTACTTACTAAAGAAACATGACTGTAAAACCTGGAGTGTGTCAATTTATCATTTAAAGAGCTAGTGTGAAGAGGACGAATTTAGGGAATCCTTGCTTCAGCTACCTATGAGCACTCGCCTTCTCCGAATTTAAGAAGAGCATCGGTAGAGAACCCATTTGTAGAGAACCCAAAAGAAAATAGAGACGATTAAAAATCACAAAAATGTTCATAAGCTGCGACTTAAAAATAAGTTAGAGTCCTATCGCTTCTTCCGCCTTTCTCCCCATCGAAAAAGAAGCCTGGTATTTTACCGATTGAAATGTTCTGGAGGTGAGGTGACAAGCCGGTCAGGTGGGATACAACGAAGGTCGCCCCAACCCCCTCTCTTCCACAAAGAATACGTTTACCGAGATCTGAAATCCTCTCAACACCGGCTAAAACAGAAAAGTTCGAAAAAAGGCCTGGATATCGTTCGCCCACGTACTCACTGGAGCAAGTAATTTCTCTCTAGAAATCGTTCAGTGAATATTCAAGCCCTAGCTCAAGTAGTTTTAGGCCTGGGTCAGGAGAGTAAATTGCCTTAAGAAAATAAACAGCTCTATCTCCGCAAATACACAGCCGATTGCGCTGAAACTTTCGTGGACGATAGTTTTCCGTAAGAACTTTTACCTTATGGCAACAATACCGACGACGAAAGTCACATGTCGGGTCACGTGATCAAAACGCTACTCAATCAATTTTTATTGGAATTGGTAAGATTTACACACACTCTTCACTGACCAATGAATGAAACAAATACTCAGTAAAAAATTCTAGCAATCTACGTTTGGAATGAATTTCCTTCGTTCCTTCAAAAAGAGAATTGAGATTTGTTAGAGCTGCGAAGAGAATTTTGTAAACTTAATGGAATTTTGTTTGTTATCAACTGTACTTGACACATCATTCCGAACGTGAAGACAAAGTTTATCAATGCCTTCTTCCATTTTTCAAAAGACAATTGCGTGAAACGGAAACTTCAGCACCGGCGGGTGCGTTATGATTACTCCTTTTAGGGCTACGAAAAATGCCGCCATTTTGTTTCTATTCGTTAATAATACATGAATAAGACCTGACTATTACATTACACCGCTGATTACAAAGGTGCAAATCGAATATGGCAGTCAACATCGGTTATAGGACAATGACTTTAATCTTTAATCGAGATACTCCTGAAACAGTAATAACTATACCAGGAGGACTGCAGCGAAAAGTGATACTGCTTAAATAACTGACTTAGTTTATTATTTGGCGCTCTAGGACAGTATTTTTGCTACTCTTGCTAATTTGCGTTTTTTTGTAGTTGCTTTTGTTTTTTTTTTTTTGCAATTTCCACTCGTGGAACGCATTGTTTGGCTTGTGGTTTCCTGTGGAGTCAAATATACGACAGCTTTTACATAAAAAATCCCAAATGTTTCTCTTGCCTTGGCTGCCAAGTCAGTTTACCAACGGTCAGTCAGTTTTTCAAATTTCAGTTTGACATGCTGATTTGCTCATGTTAAGTTATGGGGGGCAATTTCCCTTGCCAAAAAATAAGAAAAAATAACAAGATATGATAATGAGTCAGAAAAGGCATAAGCTGGCATCTGGAAGAGAGGTATTGGCTGTACAAGGAAAATTTCAAAGAATATTTTCATCAACATGTCAGCAAAAGTATTTCTTTTCTCGACAAACCATTTGAAGGTTTTCAAATACTTACTGATAGGAAAAAGCAGCATCAACTACAAACAAAATTCCCTATCTTTGATAAGTTTTTTTCTAAAGAATTATAAGGCCATTGATCACCTAATTTCACAGTGGTCACCACTGAAAAATAGAGGAAGTAGCTAAAAACATTTACCATTGAAAGCTGGCAGCAAACTGCCCTGGGTAAATCAACCCTGCAAAGAGACTTTGGTAAACTTAATGGCGTTTTGCATTTACACCCTGCACAGTGTTCATGCTTTATTTTAATGACTCCAGTTGAGAGTATCTTTTACAAGAAAAATACATGCTGTGTGGTGAACAAAAGGGAGCCATTTATAGATGTTAAAAATAAAAAAAAGAACTGGCTGGCAAAAAAGATTTCCAAACAAACACAGAAGGAGGTGAAAAACTTTGGGACAGTGATCTACAAAGAATTTGACAAAGTATCCAAGGAGTGATTGGGAAAGTCCTTTAGCAAAGTAATTTCCCTGGTTCCTGAGGCTGGGTTAACAAAGTAGGAATCACCTGTTAATGCAAAGAAAAAAAAACTGTAAAGCAAAGATAAAATTAATAAAGAATGTGAAAATTCTTTTTAAAAAAAATTATGTAGGCCTTCACCTGGCTCAGCACATATCATTTGCAAGGCAAAGAACAGTGGAATGCTTCAATATCATCAATAAAGCAGAGGAAAGGGTCAACAATACAGAAAAGCAACAAAAGAGGTTGTATGTTCTCACAACATTGGATGGGGACCTTTAGCAGCTGCTGCTGGATGTCACTGTCAAGGAGTACCATTCAACAGACAAGAGGCAAGTGTCCCACCAACCAATGCTGGGCAGGTTTTAAAAGAGTATTCAAAGTCCCAGGGAGTAGACACCACTGTATTTGAAAAACAAACAAGTAAGTTCTAGGTTGCTCTACACACCAGCAAATTAAATGTAGTGCCTGAAGATTCAACCATATCACTCTGTTTTCTAACAGACACTTACAGAATACATGTACAGCCCTCTTATACTGGTGAAAAGATCATTAAAACAACCATCCAACTCAGTTTCATAACCAAGTTGAAAGTCATTCTTAATCAGTAATATTACTTGCAGTTACTGATCAGAAGGCAAGCTAAAAAAAAAAATAAGTATTTTCATTGCAGAAAATTCAGAAAGGTCAAAGTTAAACCACCTCAAAACATTAACCAGCTCCAGGTGCCATCTCTTGATAATTAGATGACACGTACATAGCCAATCCAGTCACATGTAAGCATTTCTTTGATGGTCATTCAGTCAGTTATGTTCAATAATATTTATCATAGGATTTATACCTTATATGATTCTTCATAAGACCCCACAACACTTCACCAGATTCCAGTGTTGTTGGATGTCAAAAGAATTTGCTGTAAACAAAAAAGTATAATAAACAATATTGTTAAGTATGATCAAAAAAAAATTTTTTTTTGGTCATGGGCATATCACTAGCCTTTGGAATGTAACTCAAGCCTTTGTCATCAAAGGTTAAAACCGACCACTCATTTTGACAAGTCTCTCGTGATCGATTCAGCCAAAATCTATTTTTCACTGTACATGTAAGAACACAACTGTGTAAGTATAGCTTTTATTTTCCTCATTAATTCGAAAAGTACAAGCATTGTAGCTTAAATGATAAATTCTCTTTGTTGAAGCTCATAGGACTCACAAAAAAAAGTATAATAAACAATATTGTTAAGTATGATTAAAAACAAAATTTTTTTTTTCGGTCATGGTCATATCACTAGCCTTTGGAAAGGTACTTAAGCCTTTGTCATCAAAGGTTAAAACCGACCACTCATTTTGACAAGTCTCTCGTGATCGATTCTGCCAAAATCTATTTTTCGCTGTACATGACTGTAAGAACACAACTGTGTAAGTATAGCTTTTATTTTCCTCATTAATTCGAAAAGTACAAGCATTGTAGCTTAATTGATAAATTCTCTTTGTTGAAGCTCATAGGACTCACAGCAGTCTCATGTTGATATTGCCTAGAAAAGTGTTGTGCTGCAGATCACTGTGAAATTTTTGACTTGGGATTGAACGTACCACTGTAGTCAGATTTGATAAACAAACAAACAAATGTGATCTACTCTATGGGAAAGGTTACACATCGAGGTTCATAAATTTTTCGCTCATCCCATACTGATGAGAATGAAAGTTTCCCAAGTATACTAAAAAAATGTAATTCCTAGTTTAGTAAACCAAAAAAATGCATTTTCCCTGAACGCTCTTAATTAACGGTGTACGCGTTAGTAAATTCGCAGCTACAGCAAATTAGAGCTAATTTCTGAATAAACAACACAAAAACAACACTCACCTCAACTGTAAATCTAATATCTGCAAAAAACAGCGTCTTCTGAAAAATCTAGGCTAGAAATCGATCTTAACTTTCTCGAAAACGTGAACGTTCTAATCGTAGATCGGCCACAATGTTACCGCTCTTCTATTGAATATTATGAAACTCTGCTGGGGGTCTCGAACCAAGATAAAACCTAGGCCTTAAACTACTTGAGGGCTAGGGTTGGATTGGTTTGAAATGTTTGTTTTCTGTTTCCCTAGCGACAAAAAGGCTATCAGTTATAAGCTCGAGTTTCAGTTTCAGGTCATTTTACCCAACAGGGAAGGCTTTCTTGATCTCGGCGACCGCAAAACCGTTTGTATCAGTGGAGATCAGTTGCAAGGTATGGATCATCATTTTAACTCTTTGTTTTTATTGTTCCACTTAGTGTTTATGGTGAAAAGAAGTTCGCATTCAGAAGGTCGAATTTCGTCGCTTCGAAAGCATAGAGTATGAAGTGGTAATCCGTTTTAATAATTTCTAAACGACTCACCAGTCTTCTTTACTTAATTTTGCGGCTTAGTAATTTTTAACACCTATTCGGTGCACATTTTCTCGCACTAAAACGAGGAACTTTCCAATCTTGAATCATAATTGCAAGGTATGGTCATCATTTTAATTCCATGTTTCTATTATTCATTTTGTGTTTACGGTTGAAAGGATGTTCGCATTCAGAAGGTCGAATTTCGTCGCTTCGAAAGCAGTGAGAATGAACTCACCATCCGTTTTAATAATTTCTCAACGACTCGCCAGTCTTCTTTACTTGATTTTGCGGCTTAGTAATTTTTAACACCTATTCGGTGTGCATTTTCTCGCACTAAAACGAGAACTTTCTAATCTTGAATCCTACAGTCTTAACAAAAGTAAACACTTTAAGTAAAACATCTGTGAGGCTAAGCAACTCACGTAATTTCCTTTGGAACAAATTTGATAGAAATAATCACTGATTTTAGGTTTATTTAAGCCTATTTTCATCCCCGAATGCTGATATCAGTTGCAGACCAGATATCAAGATCCATTCTAAATCATGATATAATTTGTTACGATTCAACAGATAGAGTAAGTAGCTAGTCAGAAACGGTCAACGCATCGAGCTATTGGCGAAAATCTTACAGGGAAATAAGTTATGTTTTTCCACAGGTCGCTGTAGTAACAATAAGCTACGTTTTGCCGGCAAAGTTTTATGACCGGTCGCTGTAGTGACAACTTAAACTCTGTAGTCTTGTGAAGAACAGCTCCCCTCCACCGACAGTCGGCCAACTGTCGGCCAACAGTCAGCCGACAGTTGGCCGACACTAAACCGACAGGTCACCGACAGGTAACCAACAGGTTAGCGACAGGCGGTGAAATAACTTTACTAGTGCATTTTTGCACTCAAAAATCGATGTAAAACTTACTTTAAATGCTTAAAATTTTTCAAAATGCCACTAAAACTTAAAGGCACACGAACATTCCCTGTGCATTAAACGAAAGTGTGTTAATATTCTCCATCGAAAAGTGCAGTTAAGAATCGCCCTATACTGCAATGCGATCCTAATTTTTGTTATGTTGGTAGGTTATATAATATATGTTGGTGTCATAACCTTAATTGCATTTGGTGGCATTTTTTTAAGCGGGCTCAGTTAGGCGGGTAGAATTCTGCTATGTCCGCTAGCATGTTCCCGAAGTATTCACCCGGGTAGACTTTTCGCCAGTTGAACTCATCAAGATAGGACGGAAGTTTGCCTTGGGAGGTTCCGATCATCGCCTTCAACTTTCTCTTCACCTGACTCCAGACTCCCTCGATAGATAGGTTTTAAAGAAACATGACTGTAAAACCCGGTGGTGGTTTTTTTACCGGAGAGTAAAACATCAGCGAGGCTAAGCAACTCACGTAATTTCCTTTAGAACAAATTTGATAGAAATAATCACTGATTTTAGGTTTATCTAAGCCTATTTTCATCCCCGAATGCTGATATCAGTTGCAGACCAGATATCAAGATCCATTCTAAATCATGCTATAATTTGTTACGATTCAACAGATAGAGTAAGTAGCTAGTCAGACACGGTTAACGCATCGAGCTATTGGCGAAAATCTTACAGGGAAATAAGTTACGTTTTCCACAGTTCGCTGCAGTAACAATAAGCTACGTTTTTCCGGCAAAATTTAATCACAGGTCGCTGTAGTGACAACTTTAACTCTGTAGTCTTGTAAATACCGCAGAATGGGAGTGTATTTATTCCTCTGTCATCTGTCTGTTATCTATGCTGCATTTCTTTTTACTTTTTACAGTTCTGTGGTACACGTTTTAGTAAGTATCATCGCTGTGATTTTCGAAATCTTTACAGCTGTCTTCGAGCGACCAATGACAAATATGTCTTCGGTAACCGATTTAGAGACTAATCATTCTTTGCGCTGCGAAGTGTAAACTTCGCGCGTTACTAAAGGTTTCCTCGATCTCTTTCTAAATTCTCTGTATCTGTTTCATTCAGTCTAACAAACTTTGCATTTGCAAAACGAGAGAATTACATAAGCCGTTCAGATGGCTGAATTCTGGGCTCTTACTATTTCATTTCTCTCTGTTTAAACTCGTATCTGCATGTGCCCGAATGAATACTTTCCTTTTCCAAAAATAGACAGCCCTGAGGCACAAACATCACAACTTGCGAAGAAACTTGTTAAATTTGTTGTGTAGACTTCCTCGCTTTGGAAACTCTCTGCCGGTGAAACTGTCAAACGCCTCTTTTAGGTGAACGCGAAGATTTAGGAAAATGCTTTTACACTGAAATCTGCCCATCTCTGCTAAGTAATTACAGCGAAACTGATATTAAGAGCCAGCCAGCCTCCTACAGAGCGCATTTTCAATAAAGACGTTCGCTTTCGAACTCTATTTCAATAGCGACTGATGAGGGCAATTAATTGCACTCTTGGCACACATTGTGATTCTGGAAGATAAAAGGCGTCTTTCAGGTTGGCTGTCTAATGCAAGTTCAGACCCAATAACTCTGTTTACTTGAGAACGAGCTCTATTATCGGGTAATTATAGTCCTGCTCTTTCTCATAAACAGAAGACCGAGTCACTGTGTCTGTAGCTCGAGGCGGTGGACAGATACTGCCACGCGGGAATAAATTTACTGCTTCCCTTCCCATGTAATTAAAATTACACCAAAGAGGTATTCTAAAGCCAGCAAAGCAAAACCTTGTCGGGCCTCGTCAAACTAAGGTGTTAAAGTGAAAGAGTGGATAGATCCAGAGACAAAACTCACAACACTTTATTCACATCTGCTCGAAAACATTCGCCTCTTGTTCGCTATATTGAATTTCTCTCTCTGTGTTTTTTATCATGAGTTAACTGCAATAACATTTGCTTTCGCTTTGACAGATGACTTTCCCTCACCGCCTACAGTTTGTATTACTTTTGATATGTTGTATGCAAGATGTACTTGCTTCAACGTCATCAATTAATGATACAACCAACTCATCAAGTACTTATGTAAAGATTACAAGTACCACTGTCACACCATCATCATCTGTGTTCACCGTACCTAATGGTAAGAGACATTTTTGTATTCTTAAAAACTAAGGACAACAGAATGAAAATTTAACAGTATGGGGAAAGGTTGGAATTTGGGCTTCTAGGGACATGTCCCTCAAGAAACTTTGTTTAATTTTCAATTTTTCTCTCTCTCTTGCTTTCTTTCTTTTTTCTCGTTTTCTATTTTATATAATTTCATTTTTTTCCGTGTGAAATTGTCGGGATCAGCACCTTTTTATAAAAACCGTGATCGTGCGTTTCACTGAATCACTATTTCATAGCTGTTCATAAATTAATTAAAAATTAACCGCATGAGCAGGCCCAGTTTGGAGAAAAGACGGCACCAGTCTCTCACGGGATTTGTGCTGACAGCAATGACAGGTTACCAAGGGTAAAATATCACGAATTCTTAAATCGTATTTGTCGACGCGGACGAATTTAAATTTTAGGAATAAAGCGAAAACAGAAATAAAACCAAACAGGTAAATCTGAAACGAAAAGGAAAAGAAGAGGATTAACATTAATGGAGAAGGTTAACACGAATTGCAAACTTGGAACTGTGAATTAGCTGCAGTGATTAACAATACTCTGTATATTCACTTGGCAGTTATATATTTTCAGCGTCTTTCAGCATAGGCACCAAGTACTCGTCATCAGATTGCGCATCTTGCAGCAATGGAGGAACCATCACAATGACCATGTCATGTAGCATCAAGATGCCATCTAACAACGATAAGAAATGTGACGAGTTCAGTACAACCAGCTGTGATTACGTTACTTTAAACAATACAGTGTATCGCTGTGCTGACCTGAAAAAGAATTTCACGTCCTATAAGGAAAAATACTTGAAATTTGCAAAAAAATGTGATGACGTTTGTCCAGCTTCCGGCTCAGGTTGGTCTAGTTTAACTCTAACAAAAATTGTTTTAAATCATTCATTTTACAACTGAGATGTTACGATATAATTAAACCGACAGGAAAAAATACCCTACTTAAATTGGAGTGCATTTGGATTGAGTGTTGTAAAACCAAAACCAAAGTTATTACAAAGGCCAATCAGAAGATAGGAGAAATACCTTTCACAGCCAATAAGATTCAAAGTAAAAACAAGCAAACTGCCCAAAGCGCGGGACAATGCATGCGACGAAGTCGTGGTTGGCTTTAGTTTTACATGGATGTGATTGGTTGAGAGAGTGGCCGCGAGTTTTTTGGACCAATCACAGAAGGAAGTAAAGCAAACCCAACACATAGACAATCTCGGATCACTTTCGACATTGAATTGAAAATTGCTCTATCCTATGAAATGAACTAATTTATTCGATTTGACTATTTCAAGGGAACAACTCCTAAACAGCACAATCTGACATCAACTAAACTAAAGTCCACTACTAAATTAACCTTCAGTCATCACAGATACCAACTCACATCAAACCGACTGCTATCGTAAAATCTCTTCTGAAACTCTCGACTATAGGCATACCTCCATTGCAAACCACAATAGCTCCTGGAAGCTTCTTCAAGAAGTCGGTCTTTGCCAACAAAAACATCTTCTTTACTCGGTGTCCGGCCTATTTCACATTTATAAAGCATTCTAAAAGGTACGGGTGACTTCAAAATTCCTTTCCTTGTAGCCGCTACAAGAAAAGTAGTTTTGAAGTTTCCAGTGGATTATTATTGTATTGTTTGATAGAATGTTCTAGAAAGTTCGCGAAAGTTACATCAACATGAGACGGAAACCACATTGCAGGACGAACAAGCAAATTTCGACTGATATTCTCTTGAGGACGAACCAGTTCAAGAAATTTCCATACACTCTGTATCTCAAGTTACTCTCCACCACAAAGATCCTTGAGTTTAAATCCAATTTGTCTTGTTCTTTTCTCCAGTGTTGTCCGCTCACCTCGTGTTCATTTTCTCATCTGGTCTCGCTGTCGGCCTGTAAGTACTTATCATTTACGCAAGCTTTTATTAAACCCAGCATAAGTTCTTCAATCAACGTACATGCAACTTACGACATTATTAAGTCATTGTGATCTCGTAACAAGAATTCTACCACAGGACCTCGCATTGCTTCAGCTGTTCTTTTGTCTCCGACAGACATTTCTGTTAAAGATCAACGAACTTTATTCGTCACAATAAGAATTCGTGCGAGAGAGGAAGAGAGAGAGGACCCTGGGAACGAGATTGAAACACGCCGTACATCTTAACGGCCATGTTAGATGACGTCTCGTCTTCTATCCCATAATAGATTAGTCCTTCCCCCGCACTTTACCACAGGTAACCCAGCTTGGCTAGTCCCACAGCTAAGTAGGACTGGAATATGACATGTAATTTCAAAAAAGGACCAAATTTTTTATTTTTTTTTGCAGATTTTCGCAGACTCTGTGATCCACCGACCTTGAAAAAGCTGTCGTTGCCAACACGATAAATCAACTCCATTTCAGTTTTTTAGGAATAAAGCCGTAGAAAAAGTATATTTGTTTTCGATCGAGGCTTAGCAGATACAAGCCAAGTGTTTTTGTAAGAGATGCTAATGAGGAAAGTTTGGTATTTCAGTAGAGGGAATAGAGAGCACTACTGACATGAATAGAAATAGCGTGTTGATAGAGATTGTGTAATCAAATCATTTTATTGATGTTTATTTACTTGAAAACTACGATGTTAAGATACGTGACTTACGATTCACGTTATCTTGAGTTCTTGATCAACTACGATCACAGAGTGAGGACAGCGGCAAAATGAGTGCGCATGCTCCGTTACTCGAGCCATTTGAGCGTTCGGGGTTACTGCGATTCCTCTCCAAACAAAGTTGATGTAGGTTTTCCCGCTGAGACGACACTCCTTTTCTCCAGGAAGTTTGCCTTCTGATGAGGCCACGACAAGAAGCGCCAAGGTGATGAAAGGTGCAACGAACTTCGTAACCATATTACTGATGCACTACTGCGGTCACTAACTTTGCAGCTGTTAACGCAATATTTTTTTTGTTGAGTGAAATACGTGACGGAGGAGTTCGAAGGAAACTTTCTTGAAAACGGCAACTTTGTCTGTTTTGGTTCAGGCTTATCCCCACGGAATGAAACCAAACAATGAGAATTTCAAAAATGCCGCTGTTGCGCCTCGATGGTGTTACTATGGAAATATTGTCGTTTTCATTCCTTTACGCATATGAAATTTCTCGTGCGTTACTAGCATGCGTACTTATTTTGCCGCTGTGTCCCGAGTGAGTATCATGTGTTGCTTACGCGTAGTTCAGCTGCCTTTGTTGTACTAAGGTTACTTAGAAGTTTTGTAGAACGGTTCTACTTATACAACACGACTGTAAAACCCGGAGTGTGTCAATTTACCATTAAAAGTAAATGAAGAGGACGAGTTTTGGGAATCCTTGCTTTAGCTACTGAGTGCTGTGAGCACTCGCCTTCTTCGAATTTAAGAAGATCATTGGTAGAGACCCATGATTTAAAAGAAAATAAAATGTTCATAAGCTGCGATGTAAAAAAAAAGCTAGAGCACTATGGCTCCTTCCGCCTTTCTTCCCATGGAAACAGAAGCCTGGTATTTCACCGATTGAAATGATCTGGAGGTGAGGAGGCAATAACGGGTGAGATACAACATACCTTTACAACTCATTTATTTTATTCTTAACCAACTGAAAACAAAAGAAGAAGGTTGCTTAGGAACTAATAGCTGCATCTAACCACACCTTATTTTCTGAACCAAAAATATATATATTTATCTTACACAATGCAAGGTGGGGCAAATTTGAACCACACCAATATCTTTTTACCAATAAATACCCCCCTTGATTGTGAGCTCGTAATAAATTTTTTTATCCTTCGTAAATTCTTCCCTCATTTGAGCTGCCTTTACTTGTACAATATACACTAAAAACCTTTGCACCATGAAAAACACCATAACAACGGTTAAAAATAAGACCACTCTGCAAGATCCTAGCTCGAAGAATCACCACAAAATGGCTTGAGGTGATTTAGGTCATTCCACCGATGATAAAATTAAAAATTATTTACTTAAGCTCATTCATCCTCCCTTTGACGAGGTAATATCGCGACGTGCTTCAAAGAGCAATATTGATACTTAACCCTTTAACTCCCAAGATTTGATTGTTAATTCTCCCCTGTAGCTGCTACACATTTCCTTGTAAATTAGTTATGAGAACTTGGTGTTAGATCAAGATAGCAGCTTCTACCTGATAAGTTTGAATATTCTCATTACCTGTTTGCAGAAGAATGTATGGATATTGTAGGGAGAAGTTTTATATTAATCACTTCTGGGAGTTAAAGGGTTAATAAATAATTTTGTCTCGTTATCACTTCTCGCAATATGTCACGAGACCCTTGAGCTTCGACAATCGACTACCATCTCATTGTTGAATAAAGATTAACAAGAGGATAAAAATGAGCCAATTCAAAAATAACAGAATCAAAGTTACCATTCAAATGCTACATAGTCAGTAAAAAAATAAAAAAAAACATCCTCATCATTATTTTCAATTTTACTATTACACTTTGGCGTCACTGCCATCGTTAACTTTAATTTGATTTGAAAATTTCTGTTTAAAACAGCCGCATCAACAGAAAAACCATTAGCAAACATCTCAGCGTTGCTTCCAACCCTGCTGGAGGTTGTCCGTCTCTGACACGTCCCAGCGGTTTTAATGTCACTGACTGTCTGATCTTGACCCACGCGATTTCCCTCCGAAGAAGGACATCAAGCCGAGTCCTCCGAAGTCCTCAAACGCGAAAGCGTTGTTGATTTTTTCCAGTCTCTCTTCGCTCTTCGGGGGTGGCGCCTGAACAGGTGCGGCAGGGCTGTCCAAACTCTTACTCCCTCCTTGGGACCAAAATCCCCGGACCCCAGCCAAGCTACTCAATTTAGTGCCTCCGCCGAAAAACCCACCGGTGGCTCCGGGTATTGCGTCAAGACTGGAAGAAGGCGCATTCTTGCCAAAGAAATGTCCCCCATCTTGATCGAACTTGGAAGGAGACGGAGGCGATTCACCGGGCTTGAACACCGGAAGGACATCTAAACTTGTAGAACGTTGCTTTGATCCTGCAAGCGAATTTGAAAAACCAACCGAAAAATTGGATCGCTGCACCAGACTCGTTAGGCTCCCTATACTTGGTGTACGACGAAGACGATTAAAAAAGCCCCCCTCAGAAGCGTCTCCTGAGGACCCTGCTAGGCTCTCGTTGCTGAGGTCCTTCATATTACCGATACTAGAGCTTCGTTTCAGTCGTGCGCCTAGTCCTCCACTGCCAAACTGGTCAAAACTGCTTAAACTTCCCATCTCTTGAAGATCACCGCTGCTAGCACGCCTGCGCAGTGTGGGAAACTTCAATTCAGAAAAATCAAGTCCCGAAGACGACTCTGACTCGGAATTATTTGATTTCTTAAGCAGCTGAGACGAGTCTAAACTGTGACGCTTATTTGAGGCATCTTCTACCATTGCACCTTGGGCCAAGTTTAATAAGTTACTACCGCTGGAGTTCCTGACCAAAGTACTTCGGGTAAGAACACTTGGAGTGGTTGATGTACTGCTCGTGGTGCTGGGCAGACCACTGGTCTTAGCGGTCGTAGTGATTGGCGCAGGTATCGTCAAACCAGCTGATAAGCCACTAGTACCGAGTATCTTGCTCAACAACATTCCACCTCCAGACGAGGGTAGGGTGCTTGTGAAAGGTACTACTGGGGGAGGGGAGGTAGGTGATTTGACTTGGGATTGCGCCGTGCTATTACCACGCTCTTTCTCACTAAAGTAATTCGCCAAGTTGCGAAGGGACTCGGCCCTACTAGGCTCCTTTTCAGAGGCCTCCTTACTTGCTTTACTGAGGACGTCAGCAAGTACCTTACCCACTGAGGATGTCCCTGAAGATGTCGAGGAGGGGCTGTTTAGCAAGTGCGTCAAGATACTGCCGCTGTCGCCACCACGTTCTTTGAAACCTCCCTGGAAGCCTTGACCGCTTACAAGCGATATTAGCCCTAGCTGCTGTGGAGAAGTCTTTTTAGAGCTACCCTTTCCAGCCACGGTCTCTTCTTTCTTTTGGGACATGGTCCCTTTATCAAGCCTGTGAGAGACTCGCATCTGGATTGGTTCATCATCCTCGTCGCCATCTTCTGTCCCTGTTTGGCTAGCAGCTTCGGAGGTACTCTCCGAGGTACGGGGAAGATTCATGTACAAGGGCTCATCTTCCTCGTACTCGTCTACGTCCAAATCACTTGACTCCTTCCGTTCTCTTGGCTCCTTTTCCTGTGCATCCGGGCCCTCTCCTTTAACGTGTACCCCAGGTCGAGTCTCCGCCAAATTCAGGGTGGGGTTGGCTAATTTTTTCCACTGATGCAGCGTCACGGAACCCTTAATTGGTTTTACAATCTGGAGTTTTTCTGGAGCTCTGAATGGCCGACGTCCGTAGGATACTCGCCGATCTGTGGGGAAAAAATAAAAACCTAGTGAATAACCTTCTAAGAATTTTTGTCACAAGTACTGCCTCTCTGTTCGTTGAGTTCTGCAAGGCAATGGACTATTTACTTAATATCAAAGAATGTCACCCTTCTTAAATCATCATTCGAATTTATATCCGCCTCATTACCAACCAGTTCTGTCTGGTTCGTTACACTCGTTTTATCACAGCTCTGCCGCCATTTGAAACAGTCTGTACTCACCCGCCACAGGGTTCGCAGCTTGAGTCTTTCCCGCACCTTCCACTGAGGCTTTCGATTCAGTTACTGCAGGGGAGTAAGTGAATTTAAAGCCTGACCCCTCAGGAGAATTGGCATCCTTCGAATTGGATGTTAGACCTTTTCGGGTTCTTTTTGTGTTAATAGCACGCACAGTTTCCATAACACGAGCAGTGTGCTCTCTACAAGAAATAAAATATTAAACTTCATCAGTGACATGTTTCATCAAGTCATTAAAATTACCATTTCTGAGATACCCAAACGCCTCGTTTAGAAAAAGAGCATAGATTAAAAACCTTCAAAATTACTGTAATTATCGTGATCGCCTTAAACAGAGTAGGAAAACGGTAGCAAGTCAAAATATACAAAGACCCATCTTTACGTTTTTTTGGTGATAACATAACGACACATTTTCCCCCATTTTAATTCACAGTAAATAATCTAACCGTTTCTCCTGTTGGGAGGTAAGGTCTCTTTTGACGCTTTCCTCGATCTCCAAAGCAATGGAGTCACGTGCATCCTATCATAAATAACAAGAAGTCAATTAGAAATGTCGATCAACAACAAAATAAACGAAAAAAAAGTAGAAACTACTGCTCAGCAGAGTTAACTCGAGTGGCCACAACAAGAGTTGCATACATAGACTTGAGGGGAATGGGTCTTATTCTTGCATCTCACATTTTAACTTACATGGTAGGAGTGCTGCGGTGATGAAGACAACTTTCTGGGCAGTTTACCACTCCTAAAATATTTGTATCAACACCATCAGTGATAACACGCAAAGAGAAGAAAATAAATAAGGACTATCAACCCCTTGATCCCTAAGAACTAAGAATGACTAGCATCTAATTTCTCCTTACAATCTCACCCCTGATCACACAAACAAAGGTCACAAGAATAAAGGAAATGATCAACAACTAAAAAAAGCTCTTGATTGTTAAACAAATTCTCCTCGTCAGCACCTTAAGAGATGTAAAGAGAACAGTATGGAGAGTATGCATACTGATACTAAGGAGTAAAGGGTTAATGCAAGGACGATTTTTTATTCCATTAGTACATGTAACTTTCTTCCCTTTCCAAGAAATTTCTGTACCATTCTCCCTCACTCATCCATTTTGCTTTACTTTTGCGAAGTTGACTTTGTTTACATGGACAGGATTATGAAGAAGTTCTCTTGACGAAGATGAGCATAACAATAAAATTATTTTCTAGGTAAAATGGTTTGATGCTCACTCAATCTTTGTGTTTAACTTTTTCACTTCCCTCTGCAAGGCAAAGAAAATTAGGAAAAAAATTTAGGAAGGAAGTACCACTAACTGCACAAAAATAATCTGAAGAAAAAGACAGACAGAAACAACCCTCCCTGCTTTCCATTTTATCCAAGAAAAATATTTGGCTTTAACCATTCGCAACCTTCAGTTATCAAAAAATTAATAATTCACAAGAACACAACAACTGCTAAGCCCCTGGATTCCAAGAGGACAAAGGTGTGCGACCCCTATTGTAAAATCCTGTTAACGTGCTTGTTACTCACCTGATTTTCCATTAGCATTTCCAAACATTCATGGTATTTTTCATGTAAATCATCCACCTTGCACAGAAACAGAGAAAATCTAAGTCAGTTAATAGGCAATGCCAGTGTTTCTAAACAACCTTGTCTTAGACCATAATGGGCATGTACAACAAGTTTTATGCAATGTGGTTTAATGTTTGTATAGACAAAAATGTACACCTTAGGCAGAAGAGACTAATGAGCCACACTCCTGGGGCTTACGTGAGTTTTGGTAGCAGGAAGCGACTTAGACTATTACCATCATTTTGGATAGTCAAGTCTGTGCTTGGGCCAAGTGGCCCACCCAACTGTAGTTTATCCCAGTTTCCATAGCATGGATTGACTAGGAACATCACCACTCCCCCCTGGATGGGATACCAGTCCATTGCAAGGTAACTCCTCAGCATTTCATCAGACTTCCCTTACAACTTACCACTACCCATTTACACTCCTGGGTGGAGAGCAGCTTTGTAGGAATAAAATGTCTCATCCAAGAACACAACACAATGACCCAGCCAGGTCTCCTGCCCAGACCTCTTAACCCTTTAACTCCCATGATCTCCTTAGTAATTCTCCTTACTGTCTGCCATACAATTCATATGATGTAAGTTTGGAGAATTTGGTATTGGATCAACTAATAATCCCCTAGTTGATATTTTTCTTTATTCTCATTACTTGTCTGCTTGATATTGTATTGATAGTGCAGTGTCCAGTTTTTAAGTGCCCATTTTTTGCCTGCGGGAGGGAGGCAATGGAACAGTAAAGTCCCTTGCCCACGAAAGAAGCACAATGATCCTGGCTGTAGTCAAACCCAGACCAATTGGCCACCTTATTTCTCACTCTTGATAGGTAGTGGTACGACCCTGACCCACCCCCCACCCCCCTTTCTGTAGCGAGCTTAAGCTGAGCCCTTGTAAAGACTACATAGTTGTTTTCAGGAGGGGGAAATTGCAATGTCCCCAAGTTTTGAGACATTACCTTGTGTTGAAGCTGGTTCTGATTTGCTGTGGAAGAGTTCAGTAAACTTTGCAGTTCTTCATTGTCCATTGAAAGCTGAATATTAAAATATCAAAATTGAATCACATAGGACAAAGTGAAGTGATATTAGAAGTCTAACATGACTGATGAAAAAAAAAAATGGACCAAGATGTAATTGCCCTACATCACTTATTACAGAAAAAATTTTAAAGGATTGTCATGTAACCCTTTACAGCATAAAAACAGTATGTATACTCTGCATACAGTTCTCTATACATGCCCTGAGGTGCTGACCAGGAGAATTGTGCAACAATCAGTTGGTGATCATTTTTTTTCATTCTCTTGACTTAAATTTTTTATACAGGGGTGATATTGTAGGGAGAAATTAGATGCTGATCATTCTTAGAGATTTAAGGGTATAATACTGAATTGTCACAAGCACTCATCACTGACCTGTTTGTGCCGTTTTTGAAGATCCACAACAGTTGTAATAAGATGAGTGATCTCCTCCTGAGAATAAAAATGACAAGATGGAAGATTACTTATTAAAATGCTACAAACATCTTTATGGGTAAATGAACTGAATCTGCCACAAATATGATGAAAAATTTTTATGAACCTGCTGTCTGATGTTATCCTCTGCCTTCTGCGAGATCTCATCCGTCAAATCAGAAATCTGATCTTTAGCTTCCACTGAGTCAAAGAACAAAACCACCATTAAAAACTTCTAGTCAATTGTAAACTTCTGGAAATTCCTCACTTTCTGCCCATTGCAGCAGGATACTAGTAATACTTTATTTGAATACTAATCAACACACCTAATTGTTTGACACAGTCCAGAACCAGTTGTTGTTCCTTCATTTCCACAGTTGCTGTTTCTTCCTTTAGCTGTAAAGCCTGCAATGTAATTACCATGTCATTACAAAACAAAATTAACTTACATACCAAAATAAGTAACTAAAGATCAGTTCACTTTAAGGTTGTCAATTTTTTTCCTAGTGAAGTTTCCCCTGTCAGAAGAGGGATTCTCCTCTAGTTATGGTTGCATGTACTCTTTCTGTTTGTCTGTCCGTTTGTCTGTCTGTCTGGCTATCTTTCTGTCTTGCCGTCAGTCTGTCTGACTGTCTATCTGTCTTTCTAGGAAATTTGGTGTTATCATCTGAGTTGATAACATAAATTGCCATCCTAAAGAGTAGTAAAGTTGATGCTTTGAGCATTAGCCTTCTCCAGCCCTTTGTCAGAGTTAGCTCTTTGTCAGAGCAGATGACTAGGGCTGACGTTCAGCATGATGACCAATTTACGCTATCAACTCAGTTGATAATACCAAATCACCCTGTCATACTCTCTCACTGACACAGCACCACAGTTTCTATAGAAACTTACCCCCTTCATTTATCTGTCTGACTGCTAATCTGTCTTTCTGTCTGTCTAATTCTGTGTCTGTTCATAATGAAAGCCTCTCCCCCCAAAAAGCAAAGGGCTAGTTTAATAGGAAATCCATTAAAAGTGACGCTAAATTTTGCATCATTTCCATGTGTTTATATTAAGGAGAGAGAAGGTCTTTGTAACACAAAGGGGTTTGTTCTACATGGGGCAATATAAGATAAAATAAAGGGCTAATTACAATTCATACAAGACTAAAAACCCTGCAGTAATCTAAAAGAAAAAGAAAGCATTGATTGTTTTCCAGTTTTATGATGGACAAAGTTGCTCAACCAATAACTAAGAAAATCATTTTGAGAGAGCAAATGTTGTACCTCTAAGATGAGATGAGTGTTCTGTTGCTCCAGAGCCTGGCATTTCTGTTGAAGTGAATTGATGGAGTCATCTCTGCAAGAGCTGTCAGTGCTGTTCAAAAAATGGAGGAGTATACCTCTTAACCCAAATAATACTCACAACATCTAATTGGCAGTTCTCCCAACAAGCCCCAATACAATTCCTTGCAAACTAGTGAGGAGATTTTGGTACACTATCAAGATAACCTACTCTAAAGACCCACCTGCGACTGTCTTCATCAGAGCGATGAGATAACTGGTAGAACTCGTCCATTTCCTGATCTTTAATGAATTTCTGGAGAAGTTCAGTTTTCATGGATACTTCATGTTGAAGTTGTGTCTCCTGTACGTGAAAAAAACAAAACAAAACAAATTAAATGACATGGGTGTATTTCCTAGGATTAAAGTGACAGTATAATCAAACAGTAACAGAGATTAATGAATAAAGGAGGTAAGTTTCTAAAGAAACTGCGGTGTTACAGTAGGTCAGTGGGAGAGTATAACAGGGTAATTAAGCATTATCAACTGCCTTGGAAATGTAAACTGGCTTCCGTAAAGAGTTTAAAAGCTGACGTTTCGTGCATTAGCCCTTCGTCAGAGCAATTGAGAATGCCCAGGTATGGGTAGCCCTGAAAAGAAGTCTTTCCTATGATGGTGATAGAAGTACAACATTAAATGAGCCAGTGGAAGAGCTGTGTGTTGGTTCAATATTATATATACTATTAAAACCATTTTCACCATAACATCAGTAAGCATATTCTCCATAAGGTTCTCTTTGCTTTTCTTAAGGTGCTGACAAGAAGAATTTGGTTAACAATCATGAGATCTTTAGTTAGTGATCATTCCCCTTATTCTCATGACCTTAATGTTTGATTCAGGGATGATACTGTTAGGAGAAATTAGATGCCAGTCACTGTTAGAGGTTAAAGAGTTAAGTCTAGTTGGTAAAATCCCATTCCGTTTTACTTTGTGGTTCATCTGATTATTAACTGATAATTAATTACTTATTTGATATCATTAGTGTTGGGAATTAGGGGAACCTTCAATGCCTTTGGTACAGTAACAGTAACTCAGACCTTTTCGTCGCATTCTGACACCAAATTTTCAAATGCCTGTGTTTTGGCCAATAGTTGCTTGTTCCTCTCCAATAAGGACTACAAAGAAATTAAAGGCAAATCATTTATTAATTAAATAAATATGTAACTGTAATTATTGCCAGAAACAAGTGAAAGCCTATAATTGTCCTTATGCTATAAAGTTTTGATACATGATGATTATTGATGATAAGTACTGCAATATAATTTGGGATGTGGCTAAAACTTTTCAGCCATTAAAAATTTCTGCTTTCTTGGGTAGTTTCTTGGTGCCATGGAAAGCATTCATGAGCTCTTTTTCCTATTTTTTTTTACCACAAAAATAATCTCACCAACCGCTGGTTTTCCTGGTTCAGAGAAGTTATAATACATCTTCATCACTGATAATCTGATGGATCAACTGTTCTTAAATACAACAATTATTGTACCTGGCCAATTCTGGCTGCAAGCTCCAAGTCCTTCTCTTTCTGTCAATAAAGATTAACAGATCCATATTAACAAGGGAAAAAATTTACTCTGGAAGCAGAGCTTCCATCTACCTCCCTCCCAAAGAAGGGGAAAAGGAAGGATGTCCTTGCTTGCACAGTATAGTGAAGTGTAGCATGGCCAATTTTGAAAACACCTTGCTTGCATGTAACATTTAATTCTCTCCTTCCCATAGATTAATGATGAGAGAGGCACTGTAAACATTGTTTGATTATCAGACCACTAATCAAGGCATAGATATTAATCTTAAAGAAAGATGTTCATTGTACTGTCACCAGCATTGCACATGGATTAAATCTGGGAACCCTGCTATGAATTGGACCCCTGATCTTTGGATTTGTGTTCCAGTGCAAAGGAAAGAGTGTCCTGCATCTGCTCAGAATAGCAAAGCCAGAAGCTTTGTGGGAGTAAATAGAATAGGAAAGGCATTTGCAAACTTTTCAGCAAATCTTGGTTCAACAATAAATATGCTCAAATGCGATTGGTGCATTGGCTGCTTGTTTTTTTCAATAATTATTCTGTAAAGTTTTAATCAGAATGTGTAATCGGGCAGTTGGCTATAATCAGACACCAGTAATCTGACAGTTAAAACATCCAATCATACTTAGTCCAATCAGCTAAATTCACCAATCACAGAACATAGCAGCAACCATTACCCTTAAAAACTTGGGAATTTTGAAAATGGAGGAAATTTTTACTTTAAACAATGTCTCTACCTTGAAAATTGGAATGATTATGATTACTTGGTAAGAAGACTTGGTGATGTCCAATTCAGTGCTATTACCATTACATAGCTTTGCTACATACCTCCTGTAGAAGCTGCAAAATGGCATCCAAATCATTGTACGTCTTACTCATCTGGTTGGTTCGATCTGATGCCAAAGCTAAAACAGATAAAGAAGAATTACTTTTCAAAATTTGGATTGAGTGTTTTCAAAATTCTCAGAGTTTCCATTGAGAAATGAAACCAGGAGAAATTGGTGTAAAAAATGTTATCAAACTCTGAATAAAAACTTGCTCAGACCATTGACATTTAGCAGGAAAATTCTGGATTGTAACCAAAGAATTCTCCTAGCTATGAAGCTGTATGAACTGCCTGAATTTCTCTGTTTTGAACCAGTAACAAAACTGGTAAATGGTACATACAGACTTACAGTGTCTGGATAAAATATCACCCATATAACCAACTTGCACAGTTGCAGTACTGATTAATTTCGTAATAAATGTGTTCATTAGAATATAATTATTAGCTACGAGTATTCTAAAAGATCCCAGATGATTTCTCTTCAACATTTTCCCCAATATCTAGAAGCTACTTAAAAAAAATGTTATACTCAAGTTTCAAATATAATTCACAGTTGTTGATAGCCAGAGAAATTTAACCTAATAATGTGGCGTGCATCAAGTTACATCGTGTGCTTTAAGAGTTGAAGCTGATTTAACACTTTTAGATGTTTTAAATTTGCAATTTGCAGCCAACATCAAATTTACAGCAATACTTTTTAAAATTGTTGTGACAGTTTAAATTTTCACGTTAAATTCATAAGACATGTATAGTGTATCAACAGCTGTTTTTGAATATTTAAAATGACTCTTGCCTGAACTGTCCACACACTCTTTCTAACTAATCTTTATTAATATAACCTAAAAGCTGAGGCCTTCTCAATATGGAACCTCTACAACTAATACTGATGGGCAATATTGCAGATATTTCACTTTAATGTTTAATGGTTTATTGCAAAAGTTAATTTCATGCAATTCATATGCTATATCACACAGAGAACATCATCATTTCCACAACTTAATTCCACAAAATTGTCTTCTAAGACAATGAGGAGACATCACTTTAGTGTAATCTCATAATTGAAGTGTCTGGAAAATCAAGAAGATATGCAAAACATTTAACACAGTACCTTTAAATTGCTCCATCGCAAAACATTGTCAGCAATGTAAATTTGCAACCTTTTACCTAAATTTCAGCAGCGCACTGTATCAATAACTATTGCATCAAGCTTAAAAACTGAAGCTTTCCTCACTTCAGGGACCAAAGATTCCATTAAAAATACAACAGATTTCTTTGAAAAGTAAAGTTCTGATATCAGCGCTTTAAAATACAGTGCACCCTACTTTTTAATAACTTATCTGCTTGAAAGTCATTAATTATTCAACATGACTCACTCTGCTATTGGCAAGAGCCCTACTTCATTGAATTAAAATTCAACTTGTACCAATAATCTAGCATAAAATAAAATGAAATTCATCGTGTTAAACCTCAGCACAAGTACAATATCTAGGGAAATAAACAAACTGAGGTGATCAGATCTCCTCAAAGACTTTTGAGGAATCAAAAAAATTCCTCAGCTTAATTGAACTTGAAGATATTACTACGTCACTGGACAATCAGCATAATGACAAATGTTGTCTACCAATACCATTACTTTTGATTAAGAAACAGACATCCCTCCTTGTCTACAGAGTTATAATAACCAAAATTTAAACATTAGTGGACATGTGCATAAAATTCTAAACAGCTTTTGATCTAACTACAGGTATTGCAATACTTTTCATCATTGAAGATAAACACAGTTTAAAAATGGATTGCATGTGAAGCTTGTAAAGTTTAATAACAACTATAAGCTTTTAATAATTCAAGGCCATGTCTCTTTAGTTCAAAAATAGATTTAAGTCTGTCTTTTAACATTACATATAGTGATATTTTTTTTCTGCAAGCCTGCAACTGCAATGAGTGGTATTCCTGAGAAGAAGGTATCTTTTGAATAGGAATTCAGGTTATTAATTTTTTTAAATCACACTTGGTTACCGTATTTAATTGGTAAACCACAAGTATTCAAGAAATTATTTTCGCCAAAAACACTGGTATTAGTGGCTTGTTTGGCCATAAATGGTTTCAGAAGATCAAAACATGTCTCATTTCAACTATCTCTAGCTATACACAATTGGACATGTTACAATGTAAATTCCACATGAGATCAAAAAAGGGATTAACAACTTCATCAATATGTAAATATAACAAGCAATTATAAAAATGAATGCTTTTCATGTAACAGAAAAGTGAGAGAAAGTATTTTAAAAATGCCCCAGTTTTAAGCATCTTTGCAACATGTTGTGAAGACTTATAAGACTTATAAGCAGGGATATCACTTTGGTAATAAACTCAGCAACCAAATTCTTTGACTTGCAAATTAGTTATTTTGACTCCTAAACCCAAATTCACTCGTGTACTGTGTACACATGCTTTAAGTACAGACACAATGCTACATTTTGAAGCTTAAAAATGGCAAGGATGCAAAACTGCTGAACTGCATCAGAGTACAGACAAGAATATAAAACAATGATAACTGGCTTGAAAATGATTTTTCTTAAGCTTCACATGCCAGTGTAAAGTCAGAGAGGTTAATTCTGTTCGTCATCCAAGACATTAATACTTTTCATAATTCAATGTTTATGTTCTTCAAAGGGAAGGACCTTATCATTAACGTTGCATACGAGATTGTCTTTAAAACGTAAACATTATACATTCAGTTCTTGAACAGAGAAAACAATGACAAAAACAATACATTTCCATTGGGAAAACAGATTTGTTTTACAATAGTGTGGGGCTGAGCGAAAACTTTACCAAAAATAATGATAACAGAGAAACAGGAATTGGCTTCCATCATAATAAGTCTCGTGACAATGGAAAACATCAGAAGTAACACAACACGACAGCTAAAGAAAACAAAGTTCATATAACATTGCCGATTACAAACTGTGAAAAGTCTATGAAATGTTTCAGTGAAAGGAAAACAGAAGAGAACAAATAAATAATGATCTATATATGTCTCTCGTCAGAAAATAATCAATATTTCACAGGTGATTACATAACTGTAGCAGTAAATAGAGTCAAAAATTTCTTTTCAATAAGAATAATTTAACAAGTATACTTGTGTCCCTATTGTTAAAGTTAAATCGCGAATTTTATTTAGTAAAATAATGACTTTCAAGAACAAGAGACACTAGAAAATTAATTCAAGAATGTCTGCAATACAAGGAGCAAAGGTTCGTTCGCAATATTTGTCAGAAATGTCTTGATTATCATCCACTAATTTGATTCAAACATTGCATATTGCCAAATGTGGTGTAAATGTAGAAACATAACGATTCTTGATCGATTCTTCTAGTATTTCCCACAAATGTTTATTTACTTGTTCCATTCAAATCACACAGCGTTTCAATCGTAAATAATCAAACGTACACAAGAATCAATACTTACTAAAATATTTCAACGTTTCCTGCGCCTGTTCTGTTGTCAAATCAAGATCTCCCAGTTGCAAATATAGTTCGTCTCCGGCGAATTCGGGTTCAAGAAAATCTGCTTCAGCTACATCTCCTGTGGCACTTTCTACTCCACTTTCAACCTCCAGATTATCGGAATTGGACAGTGTTTCTTCTACATAACTATCATCGCCTAAAATGTCAGAACACCACTCCTGTGTGTCGTCTTTCTCTATGCCGTCGCATGATGATGAGCAATTTGGATCTTCCGTTTCGCATTCTTCCATTGTACCTGTCGATTCGCGATCGCCATGGTGTATAAATGAAGATCGTTTAATTACTTCCAAGCCCGCCAGTTTTAGCGTTCTTCAAAGCAAAAAACGACAGCGAAAGAGAGCCGTCACCGAAGACAAAAACAACGGCAAAAGGCTCGATTACCGTTGAAACCGGCGAAAGACTCCCCAACACTAAGATGTGCAAATATCGACAAAAAACTCGTCGCTGTAGGCCTTTTTTCGAAGGTTCTGCTCAAAATACTGGACTACCTTTCAGAATTGTTTGCTTTGATTTGAATAACAAATAACTAAATCGAAGAACGAAGAGAAATGAAGAGAAAAGCGAGAAATTCAGCTGACGATATTTAGTACACGCTCTGTAAAATTCATTACATTTCTACCTCGACTTCGTGCCTATATGATAAAACTTAGTAGGGGAGGGAAAGTATAGTTCAAAGGTCTGTTTCCGGTTTCTCCATAGCAACAGACCATAAATGGAGGAGAAGGACACTACAGCGGAAGTCAATGGAGGGAAAGGAATATCATGAAATATCCTGAAGTGAATTCGACTCGCATGGTGCTCCCTCCTTCCAGAAAAAGATTCTCAAGGCACTTGACAGAGGAAACAATTTGAGCTTACTTGTCCGATCAAAAACACCATTACCAATTATGTGAAAGTGTAGTTTGATCGTGAGTGTAGTCCCGAAAAGGACTGTTGTCGGTAGCGGTGACTGACGTTTCGACAACCTGAGCGGAATTCATCATCAGAGCCGAGCGAATGGCTGTTACCACTGGAAGCGTATAACCAGTTATGGGCAGAAATCGGTACCCAGTCCAATTTACGTGAAGCGGTTATAACTCGACGTCTTTCTGAAGCACATAAGCCCATGCAGTTTTTTAATTTTGTACTGCTCACATTTCAGTTGGAAAGTGATATACATGTTTACAATAATTAGATGTTAAGCGCTAGTCTTGCTTGGAAATTAAAACAAAAAAAAGTTAAATCGTTATTACGTGCTCGATCGATCCGCAACAATTGATGGCAGTGATCTGCTTAATCTGTAGGGCAGCTATCATATTTATTTATAGTTTAGCCTTTACATAGGTTTATCGATGTACTGATTGACTGATGTGCATGGTGCTAAACACGCGCTTACCTGCTATGTGCAGGCGCGCACGCTTTTCGTTCATGGTAGAGGAGTAACTATAGACACGTTTTGTTCATAAACAGCTGGAGCGTTGAAATTATAAGTAAACACAGGCATGCATATTTATTTTCATACTGATTACAACGCAAAATCGTTTATATTTGTCTTTTTAATTATCTTATCCGCTAAAAAAACCAACGTATAACTGTAGCAGTTGCAACTAAACGTAACGACAAACATTTGGCAACGCCAAAATACATGTTTAGAGTTGTTTTGTGCAAAAAAGCATCGAAAAAAGATTTTCTCAAAACTCTACTTCGTATGTATTGTTGACTTAAGGTCTCTAACCCTCTCTCAGAAAATTGAATATAGTTTACAGCGAGAGATTACTTTACTTTGGAGCTGTATAGAAATCTGAACTTATATTCATGATATGCCAAAACTAAACATGTCTCCCACTCTTCTATAAATTCTAAATGTGATTGCAAACACTGAGCTGAGCTATGAAATAAGGGATAAGCAAATCTATAATCGTAATCGAAACTGTCACGTAGCTACAGATGTCTACTTAACTTCTCACACCGAAAGATTAAATCATTCGCTGAGGATCTCAAGCCACATGAAAAAAAATGTATGTCGGATACTTACAAATTAAATCCTCAAATCCTGATTCCGAGAAAACGCTGTCTTCGTTATCACAGCTCTCGTGCTCCAAATTCTCATCGATTCTTTCGCCCGCCTCCATTAGTGCATGTTAGTAAAATTCAAAAACACTTCATATCCGCCGTTAAAGCATTGGATACAATTAGAGGCTGAGTTCAAAAGCAAATAAGTTCAGTGATCGCAGTTCTCTCCGACGAAATGATCTGATCATAATCGCTGTCTGACGACTGAGACGACGCTTTCTTACAAAAGATGTACGATTAATCCAAAGTTACAGCAAAAACAATGCGTCTATTTGTTCACAGCGGTTCTACCAATAGGAGCGGATCTTAAACACTCATTGGAGCGGTCATTTACTATTGAATGCAAAGCAATTTGCGGATTTAAATTAACATAGATAAGAGGTTCCTTGTTTGATGAACATTAAGCTGGAAGAATGACTTGATCTCCAAGAACGCTTTGTTGCATAAATGAAACGCTGCCGTTCACTAAAACCAGGATTTACCGTCCCTGAAAATATATGATTTGTTTACAAAACTAAACAAACCTACTTTCTTTTGTCATAAGAATCATCTTTTAGTGAGCAAATCAGGATCAAACTTCGATGTTACTTTACTCACAGTGCACAGGTGTTTTGGAAATTGGCCACTACTCGAAGCTAATCTATAGTTCAATGTTCTAAAAGTTTTAGAGAAACCTCACAGTTCCTTTGTTTCATCATGGTATTCATTGGTGACTCCCATAACAGCTTCCCACCACAGATTGCCGCTAATGGTAAACGTACGGTTAGTAGGTTTGTCGTACCTGAAGACATGCGGCTCATAAGGTCGAAACCAGGCCTCTCTAAAGCGATTATACTTCATGACGTCACCCCAGAATGGTCGCCTCACTTGAAATTTGACTTCAATATCTCTTGCACGAGAAGGAATGGTAACGAATTTTCCGCTCCCTGACACTTGTTGCGTAGTTTTCTTGCCATCAAGAAAGAAACTGACAATCATTCTAGAGATCCAAGCCCCCTCAGATATGTATTTGATCTTTATATCTTCTCGTTGATCTGATTCGCGTTTTTCAAGGACGCAAGCTTCTTCACTGACCACTGGCAGTGGACTGGTTTCGTTCTCCAACAGTTGGTCTGATTCCAAGGGTTGATTGGTTGGGGAACATGCGCTTTCTCCCAATTTGATGAGATGCTCTTTGTTTTCTTCAAAGCGTTCATGTTTCACCTGACCACGAGAGTCATTCAGGCCAACTTCACCATCAATATCGACCACGGGGTTTACATACTCGTTTGCACTCAGGGGATCCATTTGTTCGCTAGGGACGTCAGCTTCTTCGTAGATTGTAGGCAATGGGTACGTTTTGTCCTTCAACAGCTCTTCAGATTCCAGAGTATGATAGATTGCTGAAAAAATGCTTTTTTCGTATTTGTCAAGATACTCCATATTTTCTTCAAAAAGCTTTGGTTTCTCTACTCTTTTGTGACCACGCCTCACGGCTCTTTTATCATCCTTTGCGAGACTTTTTACTAGTCTTGAATCTTTGATTTTGTTTTTCGCTTCAGAGAGAAGTCCAGTGACGCTTTCTCGAACACCGACTTTCGGAGTTTTGCGAGTTCCCTTGACAAGATGTTGTCCCAGGCTTTGATTTTCCACAGAATCATCTAAGCGCTCCTCGACAAATTGACTGGCTGTTTGCATCACTGCTTCAGTTCCAGACTTTGTCAAGGCCCGAGGAATGTTCCTAGCCAGAACTTTAACGAGACGTCTTGCACCAGTCAGTATCGCAATCTGTTCTCCGACCTCGACTTTGATATTAGCGGTTGTTGCTGATGTTTCGCCACTTACTAAACATGACGAGCCAGACGTTCTTAGCAACCGAAAAAGAGCTTTGGATCCTGCTGAGATCGAGGAGTTTTACTCCACGATCTCAGCTTGACGTCCAGCAGCTTGCAACATTCCATTGTAACAATATCCCTGCTACTGATCATTTATGTTACGCTGAAAGTGCGAACTTTCGCGCGAGCGTGTTATAATCCTGAAACGAGAGTGTGCGTTTATAATTAAAATTTATATTTTGGTAATTCAAAACGTGTCAGTGAATGTATGCCAGAGCAGAGGGGGGAAGGGGGGTTATCGGGGGGCCTATAACCGGATTGTTTTGTCTGCAGGTAGATAATCTAACCAGAATTTTACAGTATACACTTCGGGCCGTTTTACACGGTACGAAATTATCGCAGTGTATTCAACAATTTCCCAGGCTGAAATCGCACGACTTTATATTTTAAAAGCCAGCCGTCTATCATACTGCATTTTTTTTTATTTCAACCAGTACACGACTGAAATAGGACACATCCAAAGCCCGCTCGCGGTAGTCTCCCCCACCCACTATATGATGCTAAAGTTCCCACTGAGACAAGCTTTCACACGCGAAGTGAAAACACTTGGTAACGTTATCGATCAGTAGGAATGCCTGCGAGTGTGTTAATCGACCGAACTACATAAGTTGAATAAGTACGCTACGGTTTTTTTTTTTTTTTTTTTTTTTTTTTGAATCATTGGTTCTCGCCCCCTTTTGCTTTTTGTTTTCGGCACCACGTTTCCGTATTACATTTCCATATTATTTGAAATCATCCCCCCCCCCGAAAAAAAAAAAAGAAAAAAGAAAAAAAGGATGATGAATAAATTTGGAACTTATTGAACAATTATTTGTTTGTTCATTCAAAGAGGGTATTCTTACGTTAAAAAAATAGCCGAATAGCCGCTATGATGGAAAGGGTATTCTGATAATAATGAAAGGTAGCATCGTGAGGGAATAACATCATTTTCCAGGTTCTCCCATTCCATAATCTAACAGAAATACTTAACAATTATTCCACGAGTACGCATTGGATATGAGCTGGTAGATAGCCAACCAGAGGATTGAAGTTGGCTATAACCATGTCTTACCCAACACACGCGAGTGGAGAAACTGTTTTAATAAGAACTACCACGTGGTAACAGCGAATCTTGCTATATTTATTTTATCGTAAGGAAGACAATTTTTGTAAAGAAAACCATCCACTGGCCGCTAAACAAATCAAAACTTAGTTATACAACTTACTTGACAAAATTTGGTGATTGAAAAGTACTCTGACGTTAAAATTAAACAGTGGTAAAACAACAGAGTAACAAAAAGTTAAAAAAGTAACATTTTTAAATTTGCACGACATTCTCATGTCATCTTTAGCTTTACAGCTGTACATTTGATTTTTCCAGTGTCGATAGTATGTTATAAGGTTACGTCATAAACCTGACGTCATAAATTTGAAGCTACTATGTTCCATTGCGATTCACTGAAAGGGAAAATTTTGGAATAAGGTTTTTGCTGAGAGTCTTGCTGCTTAACATGGAAGTAGCCGAACATTTTCAACTAATTAAAAGATACAAAAGTTTAATGGTAAGAATTACTGATAATTAGTGAATTGGAGAAGGGAGCGTAAAGAAAATTTCTCTTTTCGCGGCAGTGTCCCAAACGTTTTGGCCAAACTTGTAGCTGGCTTATGGCTTCGAAGAGAACAAACTACCTGCAAGCAAGCAGTTTCATTATGTCCTTCCTGTGTGCTGTCATCTCACTGAAGTTCCACGACCGTGAAACAACTTTAGGTTGTGAAGAGGTCATAAAATCAAGGGCCGCTAGAATAACCCCAACGCCACAACTGCCGCTTCCAATTAGTTGGCCATCTGTCGGTTGTCTCGGCATTCCAAACCTTTTGAATGTTTTTACATTACGCCAGTCATCCAGAGAAAAGTCATCGCAGTCTGGAAACTTGGACTGAAGCTCACTCATGATAAGAAAGACATAAGAAGTTTTGGAGAAAGAATATCCAAGGCCATCATCAAAATATGCTTCTTTGTTTTTTACATCGAGGACCATTAGTCCCCAATGTACATTGTCCATGTTTACCGGAACCAATACCAAGCTTAATAAGCCAGGCTTGACATTTTGCAACACTTCTTCAAAACATTGCCGGATAAAGCTTCTCTCTCCAGTGTTGAGCCAGGTAATAGTGTGCGCTGGAAGACAGAGTAAAGACTCGTTTAAATCACATTTACGCTGCAATCTGGAAATTGCTGTGTCAATTACAGTGTCGTCAATGTAACGTTCTAGAGCAAGTTTGCTGAACGCCCGTACATTTACAGAATATTTGCCTTCCTTAGCGACTAAATGATTCAGAGGAAATTTATATAGCAAATTACGTATTTTGTGTCTTGTTTCATCGTCTAACTTGTCTGTAGAGTGCATCAGCCACCTTTCCTCTTCTTGCGAATTGCACTGCATTTCGGCAACCTCTGCTAGCCATTCAAGCTGTCCCAGACCAGCTCTTGAGAAAACGCCAAGTTTTCCAATTGACACGCCCACATTTACATCGTTATCTTCTAAGTCGATAAACGCTTTATCGTCAACTTCCTTCCTCATTTCTCTGATAAGAGAAACAGCATCATTTACTACGCATGCTGGAGGACGTTTCTGGAGTGTTGTGACGTTAGTGTATTCGAAATTGTCCGGTACTCTCACCAGCACATTTTCTTGCACGGTTACACTGCAATCAACAGCAGGAAGTTTACATGTCAACATTTCTTCCCTTGGACAAGCAGAAGAGAACACATGATCAAACGGTGGTAGGGCAGTTGAACAAGTCGTTTGTATCGTACTGGCTAACGACGTGGAGGCTGATGACGGTGATGTAGTAGCTGAAGCTGACAGTGATGGTTGTCCACTGAAGACTGATAGCGGCGGTGTAGAGGCCGAGGGTGATGAAGATAATAGACTGCAGTCAGCTGAAAGCGGTGGTGAAGCATCCAAAGGCGACGGTGATGGTGGTCCACTTGCGTCCGACGATAGCGTTGAAGTAGCCAGAGGTGTTGAAAACAATGATGTTTTACGCTTCGGATACGAAGTTGTTAAAGGTGACCGCTGTCTACGTTTTCTGTTAGAAAACCCAAAGAGACATCGGCGAGTTTGGGGGAGGCACGATTCCTGTGATTTTGTGGAGTCTGATGTTGATGACGGCGGTTTTCGTTTGGTATTCACAGATGAAGGCGCCAATCTCGATTTGCGTTTTGCGTTGCGAAGATTTGGCGAGGCATTCTTTTTATCCGGAATCGTGCTTTTTGAGGAAGAGGAAGAAACCACGGATGAGTAACGACTGTTCTTCTTTCTCTTGCGGGTCTTGAATAGCTTTCGGCGACTTTTTTTCGGAATACGTCCCTTCTTTTTTTTTCGTGCACGCGGCGTCTCACTCTCTAGCCATTGACGTTCGATTAGTTTCATCTTGCCAATGTTGTCCCAACTAGCGTCGTCGTACTCGAGCAAGGGGCAATCCTCTTCTACCACAACGCAAGATAAATCTTCAGTATACCTATACGCGAGGAAGTCTTTACCCATGAATGTAGTAAACAACTCGTCCATAACGTCAATCCAGCGCTTGTGTGTTGCACTCCACTTCTTTGTACTTACGGCGTTCGACCAGCCACATCCTCGGAAGTAAAATTTCTTTCCTACAGAGAAAGAAAAACAAGTGTCAATGAATATGAAACGTTGGTGAAATTTTCCGAAGTCTCTGAGTTCTAAAATGACAGCCATACAGGATATGACACTAGAGTCTTATCATATATGTTTAGATGAAATGAAACAAACGACTCCAGATTTTGTTGTTGAAACTTGATTGTGGGGCAATCCAATAAACAAAACATTGTTGGACTGTCATCGAGTGCGCATGGGTGTCTTTTTCCCTTTGCCCGCCATCCTCTTTTATACGTCATTATATTCATTAGGATGCATTTTTTATTGTAAATACTCATACTTCAGCTTTCATTCACCGAATGACCTTGATAGGATTAAAAAAACACTGCCGTTTCCATCAATGGTTTTTTTTTTGCAATACAATGGTATTTAAAATAACGATAGATGCGGATTGAGTTCCCTAAGTGCTGATGAACTGTATTACCTTTTCTTGCGCATTCTTTAGCATTTCTGAAACAAAGCCTTAAGAACAGAAGCCTTTCAGCGTAATGGTGAGTTAATATCTGGTCCACTGAAGAAGAAACAGAAGTATGCACAAATAATTAATTGAATTTTATATGAAATGCCGGTTCAACAGGCAACGTTTTGTTTGATCATCTCGTTGCTAACAGTAAAAGAAAAAATTCTTGCACTTTCTTCAAAAGTATAAAATGGGATACAATTCACTCATTTCGCAATGCATTCCGAAAAGTTGACACTTGCTTTAAAATGAAGCGCTTTTTGGCAAGAGGAATTTACCATAGTTGTACAGAAAATTTCTGCAAACGTCTTCACTAGCCCATATGATATATACAACTATTAAACGAAAACAGAAAAAGGTTTTTTCTTTTTTTTTTCACTGTTGGTGTATCAATTGACAGCAATTCGATTGTACTTGTTACTTACATGAAGAAGCTTCGCCACTGCCGTCGTGGTTAGTCGCCCGGCTATATATCTGCTTTTGCAGTTTATGCGAGGCCTCAAAGCCTTGATTGCTGTAGTCACGTAAAGATCTGAAGTTCCTTAGTAACATGGAGGCGTGTTCAACAGTTAAATGGCCATAGTCACCGGTACCGAGCCCGAGTCCAAACAGGTCCCTGAGACAAAAACCCCATTCCTTGCACTGTAAAAAAGGAAAAAGAGAACGCGATTAACACGTTAATGACAATTGACCGTACTGAGAGCACTTTCCCCTACTTTATAAGCGAGCAAGCCAACTAGGTGATTACCCAAAACCACTACATAAAAAGACAGTGCACTGACTTCATAACATAGTTGTCTAACCTCTAAATCAAAGACATCGATTTCTTCTTCCATGTCATCATCAAACACTTTGTGTCTCATCGTTGTCGCAATTTCGCGCCACTTACAAAAAACCTACGAAGGAAAGCAACTTTTAGCACCCAACTCCAAGGATCAAATAATTATCACTAAAAGTGTGTAAACCAACAAACAACTATAATTTGTGAATATAACTTCTGCGTGCCGAGGTTTCTGTGATTATTCGTCATAAATTTGATTTGGTTATTTCCTTCTGAATAGACGGCCTTTTCTCTACGAGATTCTGACGTGTTCAAATGCTAGCAAGCTGCATAAAATAAACTCATTCTGGTGCATTGCTCTCTGTGATAAAAGTGTTTAAATACAAGGCATAGCTCAGTGCAACACAAAACCTAAAACACTTTTCCCGTCAAGCCGGTTCCAAATTGTATGCGCGCAACGGGAGCTACGGAACCGCAAAGTATGATGGTATTGAATCATGACAGGAGTCCCTACTTTACCGTCTGTCATTCTAAAAAGTCTCGTAATGTCGTCAAAGGAAGTCATTGACCCAAAATTACTGAGGGCTCGAAGGAGTTCCAAAAGTCGCAAAAAAAGAAAGCAAAATGAAAAGGCCGAGAACCCAAAAAGAAGAAGATGTCGCAACTTTCGACAAACGGCAAAACTTCAGCATGACGAAGCAGCTAAAGAGCCCGATGCTTCAAAATCTAAAGAATCACAAACGGCAGAACGGTACCACAAACACGCGTTGCATTTTTATTCGAAATGGAAGAAGGCAGAAGAAGGAAATGTTCCTGTCCTGGAAGAAGGCACTTTAACAGATTTACCGACAGTTATTGGACGAGGGTGCTTCGGAGTTTGTAACGTAGCAAGATACGGAGCGCGGCTAGTTGTTGTTAAAAAACAGCAAAACTACGCGTCAGGCAAGAACGAAGCGAGGATAACCGCCAAGATTATACATCCAAATGTCGCTCGTCTTGTCGGCATTGTGGAGCGTGAAAACAGATGTGACATCGTCACACCTTTCTACAATGTAGATGGCAATCAGAAGAACTTGGCTGATATTTCAGCAGAAGGCGCGACAATAAACTTCACGAACGTGCTTAGTGGACTGTGCAGCGGGATAGAGTATATCCACGAAAAAGTCAAGATTTTACACAATGACATAAAAATAAACAATGTTGTACTGGATGGAAACAGTCTAGCCGAAGCAGAAGCAATTTTAATCGACTTTGGAAAAGCAAGAGATCAAATAAGCCCCAAGGTTTACGTTACGCCTGCTGATACGCAACAATTCAAGCATCTTGCGCCCGAGCTTGGCCAAGTAAATGGCAAGCAAAGCAAGAAGTCCGACGTGTTCTCTTTGGGGTTCTTAATCAAAACCTTGAAATACAAGTTTTCCGACTTTCCATCGATGTTTGTAAAAGTATATAGATCCTGCCTGCGCACAAACGCATCCCTAAGACCATCAGCGAGCGATTTGCGCGAGCAGCTGGTCAGAGGAAAGCAAGAGTAATTTAAAGGCTGTCGGGCGCGGCAGCGCTAACTTTACACGTGTCTTTCGTGTTTAATTTTAAGTTTAGCTTCCCTGACATGGCGCTTGTGGTTTTGAGCATAAGTTCATTGTCGAAAATACAAAAAGAACGGGTACACAGAGGATTTCAGATTTATTTCACGATTTGCAATAAGTATGAACGACGCGTTATTCTTTTCAAGTGTTATTTTCTTCATTTGACGCGTTATTTTTCACAACCTAGTCCACCTTTGTTCCCATTAGCGTTTGGCGATTTAGTGTTTCGTTTTTATTCTTTTCGTGTTGCAGTTTTGTTCGGTAGAGTTACCGTTTAGCGTAAACACAAGAGTACGAGAGAACTAGAACAAGACAAGAACAGCAAACACGGTTCCGATATAATTAATTAATTAACTAATTAGTCAGATTAGCATTGATTCATAACTTTTAGAGCTTATTAAACAATGCAGTAATAAAGTGCTGTTATTACTGTCAACTGACTATAGTAACAATGTCACCAGTTGGAAAAAACACAGCCTCAAAATCATACGTTGCATGCACCCTAGAAAGTTTAAAACTATTTTTACTTAGTATTAAAGGGAGGGGGAGGAAGAATGTTTCAGTCTTCTGTCCAATGCGCATTTCCTGTTGTCAGGCTGAGAGCTCACGCGCGGCTATTGTATCTCTGCTCAATGACTCATTCATTAAATCATTGAATCATTGCGTTTGACAGAGATCACGGTTCGTTGAATCAATGGCGTTCACGGTCAGCTGCCGAAATTGTAAAAAGCACTTTAGGACTGGTTATTCGACCAAAAAACATCACGAAATGAGCCATCCCGAGTTACAATTCAACGGCGGGTTATTCAGAAACTGTGAAGGACATCCACTCGTTAACGAACCAGTTCCAAAACAATTGGAAGGCGAAGAACTGGATTCATACAAAACGTGGCTGGCAATTCTCGCCGAGCAAATTTCCGGATCTTTGAATCCTAATGCTAAAGGTAAGAATCTGAAAGATCATGGAATACAAGCCATTGCATTATGTAGTTCACATTCCAATAAACCAGCAAACGCTGCATGCGGAATCACATTATTTCGTAAAAGATTCATGATGAACTGAAATCGTTACGCATGTACTAAAACCAGGAACACCGATGGTTAGTGGTTAGTGGTTAGCGGTTAGCGGTTTGTCTTTGATGGTTAGGGTTAGCTTTTAGAAGGGTGTTCCGGAGGTGTTCCGGTGTTCCAGGTTTTAGTACATGCCAAATCGTTCGGCCTTTTAATCGTATCTTTCCAATCTTTCAGCTGGATGGCAACAGTTGCATGAGAACCATATGAAAAAGGACCATTTTCAGCATTTGCTGTTAAGGTTAGGAAGTCCACCACTCCATCAAGTGCGAGATGTTAAGCACTACAAGCAACCGATGTTTCACACCAGCACCCGCAGATTCTCGTACAGGATTCATGACCTGGACACGCTTCAAAATGCATTAGGTGAGCAAGATGTTGTTCAACTCCAAACATTGGCGGCTTTCAGGCATGGAGCTGAAGTAAATTTTCAGCGATATACCAGTACAAGCGAAGCTGTTGAGGCAGCCAAGCAAAGGGCGAATTTACGCTTCACAAGTTCGTCAGCCGCGCATCAAACCCCGACGAGTCGTTCTGAAATGGTTGTTTCTGTCGGGGAGGGAAGAGCGACACGAGAATTGGAGCTAATTTGGTGGCCCAATATGTTCCGAAGATGTACGGATTATGGAAAACTGAATGTACGTTTTTATGTCTCAAAGACAACCTTCAAACGCTAAATGCTATTCCTCCTATATCTGAGCTATATGCCGCTGTAAAAGACATAATATGCATAGACAGTTTATTTAGGATGGGCTATAAGAGTCGTGCTCTGTAAAACTAGTCATTTCCTAGAAGGGTGATGCCCAGGCGAAGTTTACCGGCAAATGGCATTTACTGACAAAAGTTTTCAGAACTTTCCAGCTGTTATAATTTCATTGGTCAGTAATGCAAATCTTAAAAAGTTGCTGCTACAATAATTGTATCAAATAAATACCCCATTTTTGGAAAACAAGTTATGATTATCTTTCTGGCATCGCTGATTGCCATGACAACAAGGTAACCTGTTAAAAATAACATTTATTTTAGTTTAAAATGCTTACTGCACAGAAAATGAATCCAGTGTTACCATCTTTTGTTATTGAACTGCATGATAAGTATGTTAAGATACAACTTTTTATCAAGTCAACAAAATTTCCTGAGAGCGGTTTCTGGCCACCTTATACTTCTAAAAGCGCTCCTGTATGATCAGCATGTTGATAAGATACAACATTTTGCAAAGTTACCAAAACTTCCTGGGAGTGGTTTCATCGCCGAAGTTAACAGAACTTCCTAGAAGCAATTTTCGAGCTTTGGAACCACCTTAGTTTTCAACATCTCCCAGCAAATATATAGCCACATTTGTAGCAGTAACTGACAATAACCTATAGAATGACCTATCTAAATATAAGAGCTGGAAAGTGATGGAAACTATTTGTCAGCCTCTTTTATTCTACTTTATATTTACTTATATTAACTTTGTTACATGCGAAAAATTCTGTGTAAGGCATTCGACATATGACTATATTGCATAGTTTATACAATGTAGCACTCTACTTGAAGGCTACATAACATATATTGACTTACTGGTCAGTGAACTTGTAAAATGAATTGCAGATTTCTTTTGCCATCTGCCAGATAAAGCAATAGCTAAAGAGTTGTCATGGTTCCTGTTTGTTTCAAGTAAGCATTGCTTGTAATTAAAACTTATTACATCACTTACATTTTTGTAGGCATCCTGTTGATACTGAGCAACATAATTCTGGACTTCCTTTGGGTACTTCTTGTTTTTTCGAAGAATGGACAGCTTTGCAACAACTTCCTGTTGTTTTGTTTTCCAGAACTGTAGCTTAGTATCTAACTCCTGCTGTAGCAGACCTAACAAAACGATCCCAAAAAATTAGAGAGTGTCAAAGGGATTTCGCTTGTTGACAAAACTGGAGCCTTATTTAATTGAAATGTTTAATAAATGGTATTGCATAGCTTTTCAAAGTGGTGTTTAAAGAGATGATAACGGTCCTTTATATCACATGTTAAAGAAATAAGTTTTCTTTTTGTATACGTTGTTATTGCAAGTTTGATGGGATGTTAAGCTGGCTTAACATCCCATCAAACTCACTAAGCTGGGTATTACAGGTATTGAACCCAGTGAAAAGTGAATTTGCTTACCTGTACTGGCAATGTCAAGTGTGTCAGTGTGAGTTCCCCAATCTCTAAAAAACTTTCCTGACTCGTCCAGTTTGGTGTAGTGCTATAAAACATCAGATGCAATAATTTTAATAAGTGTGTTGCAGTGATAACATAAGTATGCGATTCACATAAAGGACAACACAAGGAATAGTGGATATGGCAAGCACTTCAATGATCAATTGACTGAGCATTTACCAGTATTATATAAGAAATAATGAGCTAGAACTGACAGTCAGTCATCAGGAAAATGCCAGCCAGTTTGGTCATGTTTGACAAAACTCAACTGTGGTCAAACATTTAAGTAACAAAATAAATTGCTCATTGCTGTAGATTAGAAACAATTTCTCATTTAGTTCAGTTGCTACACATACGACAGGATGAAATTCAAAAATAAATTTAAGAACTAGAATCAAAATAATCATAAAAAGTTTTGTTAGACCAGAGGGATTTTGAAAGTCAGATATATGTACTCTTGAGGAAAAAAAATGGCACTCTTACAATAAATAATAAGCATAGCACACCTTGGACTTGTAGGCATAACCAAATACAATAATAATAAACACTTACCAAATCTTTCGGTATACATGTCACCAAAATTCACGTTGACATGATGTCATGATGCTGATGTTAGATATCCCAGAAGCACTCAGGCATACAATTATGCCAGGACTTCAACCTGGGTGAACCAGAGAGGATATATAACACTTGCTAGATCTTTGATACCATGTGTGAACCAAAATACTTATTATGTTATATATCCCAGAAGCACTCAGGCATACAATTATGCCAGGACTTCAACCTGGGTGAACCAAAGAGGATATATAACACTTGCTAGATCTTCAATATCTTGTGCAAACCAAAATACTTATTATGTTATATATCCCAGAAGCACTCAGGCATACAACTATGCCAGGACTTCAACCTGGGTGAACCAAAGAGGATATATAACACTTGCTAGAACTTTGAAACCATGTGTGAACCAAAATACTTTTTATGTTATATATCCCAGAAGCACTCAGGCATACAATTATGCCAGGACTTCAACTTGGGTGAACCAAAGAGGATATATAACACTTGCTAGATCTTCAATATCTTGTGCAAACCAAAATACTTATTATGTTATATATCCCAGAAGCACTCAGGCATACAACTATGCCAGGACTTCAACTTGGGTGAACCAAAGAGGATATATAACACTTGCTAGATCTTTGATACCATGTGTGAACCAAAATACTTATTATGTTATATATCCCAGAAGCACTCAGGCATACAATTATGCCAGGACTTCAACCTGGGTGAACCAAAGAGGATATATAACACTTGCTAGATCTTCAATATCTTGTGCAAACCAAAATACTTATTATGTTATATATCCCAGAAGCACTCAGGCATACAACTATGCCAGGACTTCAACCTGGGTGAACCAAAGAGGATATATAACACTTGCTAGAACTTTGAAACCATGTGTGAACCAAAATACTTTTTATGTTATATATCCCAGAAGCACTCAGGCATACAATTATGCCAGGACTTCAACTTGGGTGAACCAAAGAGGATATATAACACTTGCTAGAACTTCAATATCTTGTGCAAACCAAAATACTTATTATGTTATATATCCCAGAAGCACTCAGGCATACAACTATGCCAGGACTTCAACTTGGGTGAACCAAAGAGGATATATAACACTTGCTAGAACTTCAAAACCATGTGCGAACCAAAGTACTTATTATGTTATATATCCCAGAAGCACTCAGGCATACAATTATGCCAGGACTTCAACCTGGGTGAACCAGAGAGGATATATAACACTTGCTAGAACTTAGATACCATGTGCGAACCAAAAGTACTGCTCATGTTATATATCCCAGAAGCACTCAGGCATACAATTATGCCAGGACCTCAACCTGGGTGAACCAAAGTGGATATATAACACTTGCTAGAACTTCAATTTACCATGTGTGAACCAAAATACTTATTATGTTATATATCCCAGAAGCACTCAGGCATACAACTATGCCAGGACTTCAACCTGGGTGAACCAGAGAGGACATATAACATTTGAGGGTCTCTACTGGTATTCTGAAGAAATCAAAGATTTATGCTGAAAAAGGAAGATCTCGTAACTGAAGCTTAGGCTTAAAAGTTTATGTAACGCAATGATTTCAATCTAGATAATGAACAAGTAGATCTGCTGAAAAAATGAAAAGTGAACCAGACTTTTCTTACTCGTGCATTGTTCTTTGGTAAAATTCCTTAGTTACTTTTCATGTGCAACAATATTGTTTACTTTCCTTATCACACTAAGTGTTCCTCTTTTTCCTAACTCCTTGGAAGTTTACCTGGATCATTTCCTCACAGAATGTAATCTGATTTAATAAGTATGTTTCAGCAACATCTTTGTCTTTAAAAAACCTTCTCAGGTTTTCTAATGGCAGAGACTGGGTGACAATTTCTTCAATGTTCTCAAGAAACCTGCGTTCTGTTGAACCTAAAGACGATTCAAAGATCACGCTTTAGTAAATACTGCTAAAGTTGTTAAAACACCTTAGGCTGGGGGTGGGGATTAAAAGTTGTTCAGTTAACAATAGTTTATGGTTACTATAGCTTTTCATTTTTCTGTATGATTGTTATTAATTGAAGACAAAGTTATTGTTATTAGCTTTGACAACCACACTAAGTAAGGCATAGTCTTTTTGTTCTAAAAGCTTGAAGAAAACAATACATTAATTATAGTATTAAAGATATGGCATTAAATACAACATAATTTACTTTCCCAGTTGTGTGTTGGTTGTTGTATTTATGTTGCATGACTTGTTTAGCTACATTGGCTTGGTATTAGCACTTGGCCAAGGGAAAAGAGGGAGAGGAAAAAAAGCATTCTTGAATTTTATGGTCAATGAAGTACGCTTATTTACTCTGTTGGAGTCTTTTGTAGAAAAAGTGACCGTCACAATAGCTGTTTGCATCAATCTGATGTATGACTGTATACCTGAGAATGACAACACTTGAATGTTGTGCCGCTCAATACCACTTTCCTGGCCAGGCTTTGTCTTTACTACGATTCTGTCCCTTCCCTTCATACTGTCTGGTCCATACTTGGCTAAAACAGCATTGCAATTTTTAAGACTCCCACACTCATACGCAAACATTCCCAGTGAACATAGCAACTGCTCTGTATTCCGCAGCTCGCAATGAAGAGTGCATAGGTTTACATCACACAACTCTTCTTCAAGGAGAAACAGCAAGTCATCCCTAACACCCTTCCATCTAAAATATTAGCAAAGGAGGAGTAATATCAAAAATTACTGAAAGTTGACCTTTTATTTTATACCTAAACATTATCAAACTTAGGTATTTATCAGTTTCTCCTGTGCATACAATGTAATTACAATTATGCCAGATTGTAATTATGCACAATTACAATCAATCCTGGGAAGTTGTCTGCAGTTTCTCTAAGGACAATAATGCTTATATCTACAACCATAGAAAATTAATGTAAGGTATAATGGAGAAGGCTAAACAGGGATTAATAAAATACTTGTTTCCTGAAAATAGTTTTGTAATCAAAATTTAATACATAGATGCATGTCTAAAGTCTGAGGTGTGTACAAAAAAATTAATCACATAACCAAAAACACATAAATAACATACAGCTGCCCTTGTAAAATGATTGCATTAAAAAATTAAATGGGCTTACTGACCCTCCAACATTTGCCTTGCTCTTGATAAAGCATTCTGCACAGGATTCACCACGTTCAACCCCCAGACATGCACATCCCTGCAATAAAATAGAGAACGATATTTTATTGTTTACCAGATAGTGACAGCTTGCAACAAGACAAGACAAAAATTCAAGGGGTATCGCTAAGGTGTGCTTGCTAAGTAACAGGACTATTTTACAGGTCATCATCAAGGAACCACAAAACAAGGAAACCAAGGATTACGGTTAACAACGATTTATAAACGATCATAAAATATCGGTCCCAGTCATGCCAAAGATTATGAATCAAGACAACAAACAAGGCAAACAATGGACAATAAGTCAAAATCTTATGGAAAATGTGAGGTGACACTAAAGGATCTGATTACAAACCAATAAGAAAACAGAAAAAACATTGTAACTACGTCCATAAATAGGCACACAATCAAAGTAATTGATTGGATTGAAATTGAATCCTTTGTCTATAATAGTATCCTTGACAAGCTTGATACAATTAAAAACTGTGAAGAAGTTGAAGTTGAGTATGAATTTTAATTACCCATATACCAAAACTTACAGTGAAAACACTATTATAAAATGACTTGTGCACATCCAGTGACATAGGAACTACATTTAATGGCTACTTCTGTGATAACTTACCCGTATAACTTTACAGAACACACAGCACTCTGTGTCCAACCCTCTCTGACATAGACCTTCCATTTCTTCATCTGACTCATTATCTTCACTCTTTCGTTTGATAAGCATTATCAATGCCTTGTAATCAAGCGTAACTGTCATAAAAAAACAAGATGAATAATTAAATTTTCTTGAATGTCACATCCCGACATTAACAAATATGATTTTAATGTCCATTAACAGGCTTCTTCTGGGATCACATCCCAAAATGCCTTTTATTTTAATTAATCAGTCTGCATTTACTGTCATCAGCATTTCTACAGCCTGACTTAGAAATGCAGATGGTTACAATCTTTAGGAACACATCCAAGAAGAGAATGAGGAAATTGATTCTTAAGTCTTGTTTTTTTTTTAAGGCGATGGAGTCAGTAATTTAGCAGTAGGTAAAGGGCCATTCAAGCCTATAGTGGCCCATCAGGCTTTGTAGCCTTACCTTGGATTCAGGAGCATAAAGTGACAAGAGTATTTCTATGCGCACCCGGATGGGGCGCTAGCCCATCAAAGGGTTATACATGCCCGGATTAAGTTCACTGGTACTTTTTCAATCCCCTGAGCTCAGACACTGTGAGTATTGCCTATGAATACAACACAATTACTCTGGCCAGGACTTGAAACCCAGATCACTAGATCTCAAGTTCAGCACACTCACCACTGATAATTACAATGCAGATCACTGTCTCCCTTATTAAGTAAGGTAAGGTCTGGGTTTGGGCCCAGAAGTCACCCACCAGCATCAAAGCTTATGCGGATTTCAGTAGCACTAAGGGACTAGGAGTATTTTTACTTCACCCTGGATGGGATGCTAGTCAATAAAAGGGTTATCCCTGCCCAGCATTAAATTTGCCAATTGATACGCATTCATATACATTTATATTATTTGTGAGTGGAGAGAAGCACTGTGAAAGTTGAATGTCTTGCCCAGGAACACAACACAATGGCCTCGGCTAGGGTTTCAACCTGGACTGCTTGATCTGGAGTCCAGTGCTCACATGAAACATTAGGCACTTACAAATTCAGCAGATGGAGGTATTCTACAATATTATTATAATACTATATGTTTTAATAGCAAACAGAAGAAAGAAATACATGTAATTCTGAAAATAAATGTAACTTCAATATATAAAGGAACTCCAGCAATAAGCTGGATATTTTTCCTTGGCCCTACAGTGGCCTAGGAAAGTATATTTAATCACCTGTAAATTTGACTTTAAAGTGTCTTCCATCAATAGTTATTCCATTTTTCTTGATGGTATTTTTTTGGGCATTGATTTCCTTTATTAGGGCTTCAACATTGATCCTACAGAAAAAAAAACAGTTTAAACTCATTTAATTGAACTCCTAACTTAATGATGGGCATTGAATTATGAAATCATAATAGTGCATTTAGCAGTCTGCTAAATGCATTTCTTAAAGTGATATTTTAGCCATTGAAGACCTAAATATTATTATTATCACCTGTTTTCCTCACAATTTGCAATTGCTATAGGGTAGACACTTTTACAGCTCTCACTTGATGCATGACTGACATTGATAGGAACCACACCTATCATGACTTGCTGCCTACCTGTAGAAGGATGCCAGAACAGGAATATTATCCGACACTATGATTACTTATTAATACTTGTCCTTAACAGGACATGCAAGAACAAATGAAAAATAGGCGGCTTCATAAATGTTGGGTTGTTTTCTCAGTAATACACTGCATGCTGCACTATTAGTATAAATACGTACCAGGTAGTGATTTTCGGAATTGCTTTATTTGTCAATAACAGAGGTTCAAAACGGGAACTTGATGTTGTAGGGTAGCTTGGGGTGATCTTGATAATTATATCAGACAACTTATAGAAAGTAAAATGCTAAATTTGCCCTTTAGATATGCAACAAGAAAAAACTAACCAAAAAATGGTCTCCCATCTAGCTTAAGATTAAGCTCAAGGGTTTGCTGGTCAGACTGATGCAGTCTTGTTTCCCTTGCTGCCCAAGCCACTGCAGCAGAAAGGTTAACCTGATATCCCCGAGGAGCTCCATCTGGCAAGGGGCAGATGCCCATTGCCTTTTTTACAACATGAAAAATCATCTTGCGCACAGCCTTTAAGTGATTCTTGTTCAGAAGAAGTGGAATGTCAGATTTCGTCTAGATAAACAAATGCAGACATAACAATATCTTAATGAATCAATAAAAGAAGGCATTACAGGGTTGGAAATTAGCACTTGCCCACTTGCCCAGGCGAGTGTCAAAACTACTTGGGCAAGTAAAAATCCTAGGCTTTTTGTTGCATTTATTAAAGGCACTTGCCCGATGGCATGTGCTGTCAAAATTAAGTTTCCATCCCTGGTATTACAGATCAATGAACCCATTAAAATGTAAAATGGTAATAGAATGATTATAATATAATGTGGAATCCATCAATAATGATAAGAGCACAAATAAATGTTTAGGTAAGGAAAGACATGTCTTGTGAAATAAAAATACTGAGATCAAGTTACAGTTTGAGTTCTAATATAAACTACTCTATTTTAGTCACACTGCTCATCAGTGAAAATGATTTTAGTAAGATGAGGTATGGTTAAAGGGGGGTGGGGGGTCAGGGACACCTCAGGAACCCCTCTAGCCATGCCCTTGACAAAGTTTAGCAATAAAAAAAGAAAGAGGAAAAACAATATTTCTGTTTGTTATTTTTCTATTTATCTTTGTACTTTGTATCGGTATATTGTTTTATTATATCATAATTAAATAAATTTTGACCTCCAAAAGAAACGGATAAAGTTGACCAGAATTTAAATACAGGGGTGGCAGACTTTCCCCACTCACCAATTTAATCAAACACACTAACTGGCAATACAAAATGATTTAAAAAGATAAAATGATTTACCTTAGTTCGCCCTAACTTTGTAAAGTTCAACAAGGTTTGCCATCCTTGGTCTGGGATCCGGGACTGCAGCTTGAAGTAAAGCAACGTCCAATCGGGCACACGAAGGGATTGAAAGAATTTTGGGGCACTGTCCCCCAGTATTGCTTCCAGGGCTTGCTTCGGGCCTTTTTTTCTCAGCAGCTGTTCTGCGATATCGCTCATCACTTCAGCCACTTCAACATTCTGGTCCACCTGATCGGCGAATAAAGATGCAAGAGGCACCTGGAACTTATCGCAAACATCGCCGATCAAGGTCCACATATCGCTTGTACTGTCCGGGTTGTCCTTTGCCGGGTCCTGTGTGCCTGAGCTCAGCGTCGATTGACCGCCGTTTTTCACCTCATCTCGAAGGGCCTCTAACTGGGAAAGCACAACTTCAAGTTCAGCCTTAAGCTTAAGATTTTCATCTTGACTCTTCTCGATATCCTCTATGGATATGGCTGACCTTGAATCGACTCCAAATACTGTTTGTACAGGGTCATGAATTTTGTCCTTGTTGTTGTCACGTGTGTCAGTCGCTGTTTGGCAATCTTCATTATCTTGGCCAATATTTAGGCTGTTGATGCCATCAACCAACCAACTGTACTTTTTTTCTTCGCCCGCTTTTAGTTTTTGCCGAAGTATCGCGGAAACAACGCCGAAAGAAGAGGCTATGAATACCTCTTCTTTGTGAACTAGTCGTCGATCCAAGTGCCCGCCATTTTTAAGATTCGAGAGTTGCACTGTGTTAAATTCTTTTGGAAAGCTTGACACCAAAGGGCTACTCGACATGAATTTTCCTACAGGAATGCCGCATATTTTGGAATTCAGGAGATACCAGTCCCTCGAATCGCTCGTGGAGTGAAGCAATTCAGCTCTTCGAATATCGAAGGCATCCATGCCGCACAGCACCTGATCGAAATGAGAACACTGCCCCGCTCTTGTGAGTAATCTCTGAAATTCAACCTCAAGAAATGTCAAAAGAAAAATCCAGCCCCTCAAAATAAACAGGATTGACGCCATTGGAGGTTGCACACAACGGTGTTAATGTAATCACCGAACGCTCCCCTGTTGAAACCACAAATCGAAAGCGATGATAGCTACTGAGCCGGATCATGACGTCACACCATAGCAACCAAACCCCACGAATTTTTGAACATCCGGTTTGCTCTGGCTCGTCATGCTTTGGTGATAGCACCTCCTGCTGTTCCTGCAACAGCACCAATGGAGGCACTCAAGGCTACGCGACAAACTGCTTGCTTCAATGTGACTTCTTCTCCATCGACAAACTTTCTCCCGGCATCTGAGGCAACGGATGACACAGCTCCACCAGCGGCGCCGGTTCCTGCTCCAATCTTCATGTACTGACCCATCTTCACAGCCGCAGACTCCATGGCCCTTTTTCCAAGGCCTGCTACACCTGCTGTGATGCCTACTGCAGCAAGTCCAATTACTGCTCCCAAAACAAACCCAATCCCCTCTTTGACCAACCACTTTGTAGTATCGCACTCTTCGGTCACAACGTACTTCTCATTCACAGTGTGCTGTAGTGATTGCAAACCAGCTCCGATCATTGCACTGCCTAAGACACCTCCAACAGTTACCACTGCTGGGGCTGCTAAGCCTGCAGTGACAGCAGTCAGGACGATTCCTCCAATTGCAATTCCCAGCGACGCAGCAAACATTATCATCCTTTTCTCGTAGGTTTTCTTCTGCTCTACTGTAAATCGTTCCGGATTGAAAATCGCCCTCCATCTTGAGGGGGACAGCCAACCTTTGTCGTAATCAGCCTCGTTGTGGTATCGAGCACGCATCTCGTCATCTGATAAAATTTCGTGCGCTATAATGATCTCCTTTGCGTTGTCTTCGTCGCCAAAATTTTTGTCGGGATGCCATCGTTTTATTTGTTCACGGAATCCCTTCTCGATCGTTTCTCTTTGCTCCTCTCTTAGCATTTGGCGAGTCTGATCCATGTCTAGTCCAAGAATCGCGTACAGGTTTCGTTTTCCAGTTGTGGTGTTTAATTCTTTGTCTCTTTGAAGTTTACGAAGACATACTCGTTTCTCTGATGGAAAATCTTCTAGCTTTCCCTCAGTCAGACAGAGGTCTTCAGTAACTTTGAGGAGTTTGTCTGCATCCCAAGTTCTGGGTTTCAACAGTGTTTGCTTAGATTTGTCTTCAAATCTTGCAACGAGCTCGAATTTGAAGGAATCTTTGCTGCGATACAAGTATTTCTGGCCTGGAAGGATAATTTTGGAGGAGAAAGATATCAAATATAGAAAATCCCCACTGGAATATAGGTAGAGTGTGATGCTAGCATCCTTTGATTCGTTTACGATCAACAAAGACTTGTACTGCTCGTCGCTCATGGCTGGTCACTCGATCAGTTGCTAAAAAAGTAAGTTAAATAGTTAAGTATAGGGTTAAGTCGATTTCAAAAGCCGATAGGGGAATTGGCAAGCGTGTATCACCGATAGTACTCAAGACGACTGGCTAGGCTACTTACCACGGTGAGCAAAATTACGCGTGACGACAGACGTAAGTCTCAATTGCGAATTGTCAATAGGCTACCAAAAATCCAGATAGAGGCGGAGTTTTCTATACTAATGTTTGAACACTTTGTTGACTTTCCGCCGTCTGGCGGGACGCGTAATTATGCACACGGTGGTAAAGGGCCCTTCCGCACAAGTCACTAGACGCTGACAAAACTTGTTTCTCTTCACCAAAAATCATATCAGTATTTGTCCTTGCTAAATTTCAAGTGTGCTGCACGTATCATCATTCCCTAGGAGACACCTTTACATAAGAGGGCGGGGGTGAATTTCGAAAACGACCTTTATAAAAGGTACCTGAGTCTTATCTGTGTGGGAGTGGCAACAATTGATGTCTACCCCTAAAAAGTACCAATTCAAAAGCAAAAAATTAAAAACTCCCAAAAATAAAAACTCCTTGATTGATGTGCTCTAGAGGCTCAAGTCAGATCATTAAAATCGTCCTAGTAATGCTTATTTCAGGTATTTTATTGAGCGGAAAACACCCTAAAAAGTACCAGCTAGGTTTCTGGTAGTCAACTAAAGTTTGAGACACCATAAAAGGTACCAGATCGCTGATTTTCACCCCTAAAAGGTACGACAGGCATTCCCACCTATTTCCGATCGACTTCTCCCCCTCGATCAACACCTGAAACAAAGATTTGCCCCCCAGTGGAAATAAAAAGTGATTTGCCCCAGACGCCCCCATCTCAAAAATCTAATGGTCCGTCCGTAAGGTACTTTTACATAATTCCAAAATGAGTTTCGTTCCGGAACGAAATGAATTTCATTTCGCGTTTACATGCAAGATAATTTAGCCTGGAAAAACAAGTATTTGTGTCCTTTTCTGTCTTTTTCTAGGCTTCCCTCGCTCCTGAAGAGGATTCATACAGATTTGTGTCGTACCGCGTTTACACTATACTGGTACAAAAGTTCGTCCAGGTGGAGTGTTTCGTTCTGGAATGAAAACCCCGATAAACTCATTCAGAAATGAATCGTTTCGAATAAATTTACTCTGGTATCATGTGGCAACCGGTAAGAACTCGCTCTTGAACAAAACTCATTTCGATATTATGTAAAAGGCCCCTAAAAGTTTTTATTCCCAGAGCGTCACCCTAAAATATCACTTAACGAAAGCTCAAACGTCTTGGAATATACAGAGATCGCCTGTTTAGATTTACTTTTTCCAAATTTTTTTTTTCCCGCTTCTGTCGCTGAATTGTTGTAAACCGCTATGGAAAAATGTTTTCCTTTGGCACCAAAGCAGACTTGTATTTGATGTAAACTAATTGCTGACATGCTTCGTCATGAGTGTTTTGACAGAGAAGTCAAAAAACGATTGAATACCGACAGCATTAATAATTTTTCATCCCCTTGAAATGTGTTTTATGTGACTTTATCATACTAAGGATAAATCTTCATCGTTCTTAGCGTCGTTTTTGACTAGAAATAGTCGAAAATAAAACAGCTATCTTTCAATGCTAAAAAAAGTGTTTTTGTGATTCCATATTTGAGGAACCTTTTGCTTTAAACACGTCGATCAGTTTGGAACCTTCATAATTTTAAACAAACAGACGATCGCATCTTTTTAGCTCTTAATTCAACTGCATCAAAAATTTTTCCTTTATAAAGATGCCACTCAAAATTGTAATTCACAAGTTTTCAATTCAACGAAGACAGCAGAATCTCGAAACGATTCACAGCTCACGCATAATTCTCAAATGGAAACCGAAAGTTTGAGTGACTTGAATGTGCAACGTCAATATTATTATTATTGTAAACCTGACGAAAATAAAACAGCTATCTTTCAACACAAAAAAAAGTTTTTTTGTGATTCCATATTTGAGGAACCTCTTGCGTTAAACAAGTCGATCAGTTTGGAACCTCCATAATTCTAAACAAATAGGCGATCGCATCGTTCTTTTTAGCTCTTAATTCAACTGCATCAAAAATTTTTCCTTTATAAAGATGCCACTCAAAATTTTAATTCACAAGTTTTCAATTCAACGAAGACAGCAGAATCACGAAACGACTCACGACTCACGCATAATTCTCAAATGGAAACCGAAAGTTTGAGTGAATGTGCAACGTCAGTATTATTATTGTAAACCTGACGATGAAAGGCAAAAATTTTAAAATTTAAAAATTTGCTTTAGAATAACCCATAAGGTGCTCGGATATGTAGTGAATGTATGTGAGCTCACTAAAATACCACATTGAATCGATTGTATTCATGCATATACCTTCCGATGAATGTGTATGTCCCGGAAGTAACGCAGTCGCTATAGTTATCGATGTACTTACCGAAACAAGCAGATTTGACGAAAAATTTTACATCTCAGAAAAATTCCTTGCCATCAAGTTGGAATCTATCGAAAGAGAAGTTAAAAAAATGATTGAATTCCGAAAGCATTATCGATTTTTCGTTCCCTTGAAATCGAAAGTGATTTCTCCTCTTAAAATGTGTTTTGTGTCAACTTCATAATACTAGGGATAAATTTTCATCGTTCTTAGCGTCGATCTTCACTAGAAATAGTCGAAAATAAAACAGCTATCTTTCAACAATAAAAGCTTTTTTTGTGATTCCATATTTGAGGAACATTTTGCTTCAAACTCATTGATCAGTTTGGAACCTCCATAATTCTAAACAAATAAGCGATTGCATCTTTTCAGCCCTTACCTCAACCGCATCAACAGTTTCTCTTAAATAAAGATGCTACTTACCTTAAATTACAATCTACAAATTTTTTAATTCAACGAAGACAGCAGGATCACGGAACGATTCACAGCTCACGCATAATGCTCAAGTGGAAACCGAAAGTCTGAGTGACTTGAATGTGCAACTTCAGTATTATTGTAAACCTGACGATGAAACGCTAGCGACCGCATCCCAGAAAATTTGAGGTCGCGTGCTTTGCAGCACAGGGCATGCAGGGTGCATCTTGTTTTTCTTCAAAATGGCGGGCCTTTCGAACACTTTCGCAGCTCTAGAACAAGACGACTCTGGGATAGTAAGCTGTAGCACTCTCGAAAGCACCTATTCAACGCAAGAACCAAGAAGAAAAATTATTCTTATTGGAACTATAGCAGGGTTGTAAAGGATACAGTCCTTTTAAAATTCATCACCCATCGCCTTAAGAGAGAGAGAGAGAGAGAGAGAGAGAGAGGGGGGGGGGGGAAGGGGGTGGAGGAACTCTTAAATACAAGCCTGTTGCCATGAACGCGGAAAGGCTCATTATTCCTCAGCAGTTTCCTGAGGAACTTTGTATCGGCCGCGTCCGCTCGTCAAATTAAACTATCAGATTCTTTTGTTTTCAGCCTCTTTTCACAACGCAACGAACGTTTAAAGGCTGTTCAGCACGAACAGAA